AAAACTTTTCCTATCCTATCCTACTTTGATACAGATAAAGCAACCCGAATGATGATTTATTTAGAGTTAATTTGTTGGACACTATTTCTTGTTCTTGCGGTTCAACATGCGAAAACGCTTTTCACTATTTTCTTGAATGTAAGATATATATATAGCAGGGCGTGGAGTCATCCCACAAATGACATCCTTACCTTGTCAGTGTAGCAGGTCGTGGAGTCATCCCACAGATGACATCCTTACCTTGTCGGTGTAGGAGGGTGTGGAGTCATCCCACAGATGGCATCCTTACCTTGTCAGTGCAGCAGGGTGTGGAGTCATCTCACAGATGACACCCTTACCTTGTCAGTGTAGCAGGGCGTGGAGTCATCCCACATATGGCATCCTTACCTTGTCAGTGAAGCAGGGCATGGAGTCATTCCACAGATGACATCCTTACCTTGTCAGTGTAGCAGGGCGTGGAGTCATCTCACAGATGACACCCGTACAGTGTCAGTGTAGCAGGGCATGGAGTCATTCCACAGATGACATCCTTACCTTGTCAGTGTAGCAGGGCGTGGAGTCATCTCACAGATGACACCCGTACCGTGTCAGTGTAGCAGGGCGTGGAGTCATCCCACAGATGACATCCGTACCTTGTCAGTGTAGCAGGGCATAGAGTCATCCCACAGATGGCATCCTTACCTTGTCAGTGTAGCAGGGCGTGGAGTCATCCCACATATGTCATCCTTACCTTGTCAGTGTAGCAGGGCGTGGAGTCATCCCACAGATGGCATCCTTACCTTGTCAGTGCAGCAGGGTGTGGAGTCATCCCACATATGACACCCGTACCGTGTCAGTGTAGCAGGGCGTGGAGTCATCCTACAGATGACATCCTTACCTTGTCGGTGTAGGAGGGCGTGGAGTCATCCCACAGATGGCATCCTTACCTTGTCAGTGCAGCAGGGTGTGGAGTCATCTCACAGATGGCATCCTTACCTTGTCAGTGTAGCAGGGCATGGAGTCATTCCACAGATGACATCCTTACCTTGTCAGTGTAGCAGGGCATGGAGTCATTCCACAGATGACATCCTTACCTTGTCAGTGTAGCAGGGCATGGAGTCATTCCACAGATGACATCCTTACCTTGTCAATGTAGCAGGGCATGGAGTCATTCCACAGATGACATCCTTACCTTGTCAGTGTAGCAGGGCGTGGAGTCATCCCACAGATGACATCCTTACCTTGTCAGTGTAGCAGGGTGTGGAGTCATCCCACAGATGACACCCTTACCTTGTCAGTGTACCGATGTGCATTGATTCTGCTTGTCTTGACAACTGCAACACGGAAAAACATCAATTTCAAGGGTTGGAAATGGCACGCCCATCGGAAAATAACCGCTTGAGAGCCATTGGTATGCTCCAGTCAGGAACGTCGCAGCGTCAAGTTGCTAGGCGATTGAACGTGCACAGAAACACCATTTGGACGTTATGGAAGCGATGGCAGCAAACAAACATTGTCAGAGACCGACCAAGGAGCGACAGGCCCACCCTTACGAGCGTCCGTTAACGGGCAGCGTTACCGTGACGAGGTCATCCCGCCAATCATTGTGCCGTTTTTGAATCAACATGGCATGATTTTTCAGCATACAACACCGACCACATGTAGCCCGGATTGTTCAACAAGCATTTGGACAGAACAGCGTGAATGTCATCCCATTGCCTGCTCGCTTTCCAGATCTTTCTCCAATTGAACACATGTTGGATGAAATGGACCGCTGTCTCCGACTTCAGTACAGGAACCGAGACACCGGCTGGTGGAGGTATGGGATGCCATCCCACAATACTGTGTTGGATGTCTGATCCGTTCAATGCGAAGGGGATGCATTGCATGTATCCAAGGGAGAGGGGGACACACACGCTACTGACGTATAGATTGACAATTCTGTTCTTACATGTTTCTCTTGTCATAACGTCATTTCTGTGCAAGACATGTGTCATTATATGTGTAAAGTTGTTTTACTCGTCCATTGTCTGTTTGAAAATAAGAATTCTTTCAGATGTGTGCGTCTACTTCGATCATGTTCTTGGTTTATATCGTGTCACAGGAACTTCTGTTGCTGAGTATATATATTATGGAATAGAAATAAGTCAGGCTCGCTTAAAACCATTTTTATTCCAAACATAATCATCAGGAAACACACTCTGCTAATAATCTCTACACACCTAGCTCTATTAGCAAATATGGAAATGTTCAGGCAAATATATGGAACAATACTAAAAAATAACTATATATGTTACAGGCATTGTCTACAATCAGGCAATATGTATATGTGTATTGACTCAGGCAATGCACATATTGACTGAAATTTCCAACCAGTATACATATTGCCTGAAAAATAAGACTGGATTTCAGACAGATTGACTAAAATGAATAAGACTCCTTAGTTTAGTTTAATCTCCTCAATAACAAATGTCAACACTGTCATCATTCATTATCTTTGTGTTCTCGGTAAATAAAACGTAAAACAAGCAAATAGTAAATTTGTCACATTATAGGTTGCAGTGACATGAAACAGTCTTCTCATCAAAGCAAATAACCTGAACAGAAGCCAGATAGGTAATTAGTCAAATAATAGGTAGTCAAGAACAGATGGCATGAAGACCTGAACGTATTGCGGGCAATGTCAGGTACATCTTGCGGTACCTCTAGGGACACTTAGCTGGACCTTTACAAGGAGGAGAGCCAAAATAGACTACGGATTTAAGCCTTTCACTCAGCATCAAATACTATATTGAGCTGCCTCGACAGAATACAATACAAAGCTCGAATGTTAACCCCAGACCGGACAAAAACACCCCAGATGACGCCCCAGCTCGGAAGAATCCCTCACTAAAGCCATTTGGGATATTACTGCATTAACTCATCTGAAGTCACTATTGGGATGACATTCAGGCACCAGAAAGTCACTACAAAGGGTTACACCCTCCCTGGACTTTAAAAACTCCCAAAGTCAACACTGCTTTAACATCAGAAGTCACTAAAAACGAAAAGCCAACCTTACTATGAACAGTAGCTATCACTAAAATTCAAACTAACTGGGACAGCTGGGCCCATATACACACTGATGGATCCAGGAAATCCTCAACAACAGTGTTGGTTACGGGATCCATATCCGTAGCTCCAAACCCCAAGCACATTCGGTTCGCCTACCTGATGGTCAGACAGTATTCACTGCTGAATTAGAGGCAATTCATCATGTACTCAAAGTCACACCGGAACTACCGGAAACAAAGGCAGTCGTCCTATCAGATCCGCACGCACGCACACACACACACACACACACACACACACACATTGACGTCCAATGCTATGACGTCAACAGTTATGCGCTCACTAATTCACTCAGGCAACTCGTGAACTTTCTATGGTATTTGACCTCGCTTTCGCTCGGTCAGATAACCATAGAAAGTCCACTAGTGTCGTAAAAATGGTATCTAACGTGAATGAGTGTAGTATTCTATATATACCGCACGCTGTCCAGCAGATGGCCATACACCGTCCTCTACACATTGTTGTTCCAGGGGTAATAAGTTAAGATCTTGTTTAACAGGCAGAAGCTTAGGCATTCAACCAAAATCCAGTTGACATTGTAAAATATTGAAATTAGGTTTAAAAGAAGAGTTACGGTTTTGACAATTTTAAATCCATTTCCTTTCAGCCATGTTGTTGACAAACACCAGTGTTGGTGCCCACTGTTTGATTCCTGAGAGGGGCGGTCGGGTAGCCTAGTGGTTAAAGCGTTCGCTCGTCACGCCGAAGACCCGGGTTCGATTCCCAACATGGGTACAATGTGTGAAGCCCATTTCTGGTGTCCCCCGCCGTGATATTGCTGGAATATTGCTAAAAGCGGCGTAAAACCATACTCACTCACTCACTCATTCCTGAGATATGGAGCTGGCTGTTAGTGTGTACCAATTCATAACGTACACCAGAGACCATATCCGTATATGGTCTCTGCGTACACCCTCAAAGTATGCTGTCCACAGTGAACTGAGAATGTGCTCCTGGAATATCTACAAAGCTGCTCTGTTTTATGTTACTGCCCTCTTTAAAAGGGTCAAAGTACTCTTACCTGAATACATAGTTCAACGTCTATTTATAACCCGCCAACATTTCCCCTCACAGTGGTATACGTTAGTCTGTCTTACAGACCCTGATACAAATATATATCAAATACAGCCCATGCAAGTCTATAATGTTTGGCAAGTCTAGATCACTGCAGTATCAGTATCTGAAAATGAAGAGAGTCACTGGGCTCCTTTTTATTATATTTTTATTAAGATAACTAAACAACTGTTTTTTTATGTACGATATGTTCATTTCAGAGACTAGATTTTAATCTTTGGTATACGTGTGTAGAGCCCTTTATCCTACAACTTCATGAGTGGGCGGAGCTTATGTGACCACGTGACACTTGTCTCTTACGCCCGGCAGGTCACAACATACGTGTGTGCAGGTTCATTGCGTCTATTCACAAAGTTTAACTTATGCAATTAATGTTCAATTTTATTTCGGTCCATTTATCCGTGACTTTTCATGTGAAACGTTCAAATATGTCCATCCAATCCGTTTGAAGCCTAAGGATACTAATAAGGCAACTAAATCACCACATACGACAGCGAATACTCCAGTGGGGACCCCTCAAGTCGTAGAAGAGTTGATTAAATTTGACTTGGTGGATCGCGTGTCATCGTGACCCGACAGAAGGGGGCGTTATTCAGTCACATTAAACTAAAATTGTTTCTCCCATTCGATACCTCGTTATGTCACGATCTAAACACCGATAGTCGCGTGTGATAAATAACGGAAATATTTCGGAAAGTGTCCAAGAATTGTTTTAATCAAAAAAAGGGTTTCTGTCAAAACATAATGCATAACACAATCTCCCAGGAGTCAGGTTTGAATCATGTCTATTTATATGCACAGGTACTGTCTCGGTAATCTATTGACCTACCAAACCCTGATACCAGTGTCAACCGTGTCTCGCAAAACATAATGCACAGCAAGGAAGGAGTCAGGTTTTGAATTACGTCTGTTCATTTCCAAAGTGTAAACACTATCCCTGTGGAATACCCACAACACCGGATCACATATACCGTGGGGTCATGCACACGTGGATTTACAATAGTGAGTAACCACATTACGAACGAAGCAAAGATGCATACATAGACGGACCAATGCGTATACACGTGCTATGCAGAAGTGGAAGATTTGTGGAATTCTAAGTGTCATGAAGTGACTCCTAAGACAAGAGACTTTGTTAGAAATATGCCAAAAATATCACATAGGATGCGATGGTCATGTGACTGTTAACCTGCGAGCGCCTCATAAGGCAGTTTGGTCTGTATACTGCCCATTGGGCTGAGTGAGTGAGTGAGTGAGTTTGGTTTAACGCCGCTTTTAGCAATATTCCAGCAATATCACGGCGGGGGACACCAGAAATGGGCTTCACACATATTGTACCCATGTCGGGAATCGAACCCGGGTCTTCGGCGTGACGAGCGAACGCTTTAACCACTAGGCTACCCGACCGCCCCCCATTTGGCTGAGAATGATATATGAATGCTATGTTTAGTGCCGTCCTATCTCAGTGAATGCTATGTTTAGTGCCGTCCTATCTCAGTGAATGCTATGTTTAGTGTCGTCCTATCTCAGTGAATGATATGTTTAGTGTCGTCCTATCTCAGTGAATGCTATGTTTAGTGTCGTCCTATTTCAGTGAATGCTATGTTTAGTGTCGTCCTATCTCAGTGAATGCTATGTTTAGTGTCGTCCTATCTCAGTGAGTGCTATGTTGTGTGTCGTCCTATCTCAGTGAATGATATGTTTAGTGTCGTCCTATCTCAGTGAATGCTATGTTTAGTGTCGTCCTATTTCAGTGAATGCTATGTTTAGTGTCGTCCTATCTCAGTGAATGATATGTTTAGTGTCGTCCTATCTCAGTGAATGCTATGTTTAGTGTCGTCCTATTTCAGTGAATGCTATGTTTAGTGTCGTCCTATTTCAGTGAATGCTATGTTTAGTGCCGTCCTATCTCAGTGAGTGCTATGTTGTGTGTCGTCCTATCTCAGTGAATGCTATGTTTAGTGTCGTCCTAACCCAGTGAATGCTATGTTTAGTGTCGTCCTATCTCAGTGAGTGCTATGTTGTGTGTCGTCCTATCTCAGTGAATGCTATGTTTAGTGTCGTCCTAACCCAGTGAATGCTATGTTTAGTGTCGTCCTATCTCAGTGAGTGCTATGTTGTGTGTCGTCCTATATCAGTGAATGCTATGTTGTGTGTCGTCCTATCTCAGCGTTCGAGAAGTCGGCCATCGCCTGTGTACTCGTCTAGGTAGACAGGCACTCTGTCAAAACCCTGTTTCATGTTCAGAAGTTTTAAATTATGTGTTCTGTTGTCCTTTCAGAATACAGCGAGAAGAACACCAGTACGAGATGAAAACTCCGATCACAACAACGTGATGAAAATGTGTTTCAGCTAAGCGAAGTGGATCGTCAACTTTCAGTTCGTTCAATCTGACTAAGATGGATGTCATGAAATGGATTAGGATGACCAATCTGTACATGTGTGCACTGCTGTTGGTGGTTTATAGCCTAGTCCACAATGTTGACTGTGACATAATCTGTCTTGTCGATATTAGACCGATACTTTTCCTGGTCATCCATATAAAAAACCTTGTCTGCCGTCTGGGTATCAACGCATATGTCCGCATATACAACAGAGCAACGATTTCGATATATCTCCTCACTTTCCATTTGCTTCTTGTTGTTTGTTCTTTACTTTGGTTGTACATCATGCCCAGAGTTATATCAGTCCTGGACCATCATATTGTAGAATCACCTCATCAGCGATTTTTCTTTTTTAATCATACAAAATACACTGCACGTCATGATGACTTCACTAAGTTTATATACACTTTGAGGGGATTCCAAGGTGAGGACACGGAAATGACATGCCAGTACCCATTTAATGGTGGACAGCCTTTGTGGCTATTAGATGGAGAACAACTGGTGAACTCCCGGCGCTATGACATATTTTGGCGAAACAGTACAGAATACAGAACACGTGTTTTGAGAATACGTCTCCTTACACACAGAGACTTTGGTACATATTCACTTGTTGTAAATCATTGGAATAAAACAGCAGAGGATCTTGTGCGAAGGGGGGAGGTGCAGCTTCGAAACAAGTTTACTCTGTATTCTGCTGTATGTGAATATATACTTATAGAAGATTTGCCACAGGTGGAAACAATTATGGTACCTCATGGTGGAATTTTCAAAGTAAGATTTTCTTATAGTTCCTCCTCCGAATATATATATGTTGACAAGGCTATAAATGGGAAGCCACTGGAACTAGTTTGTGATGAGGACCAAGGTTCGTGGCTGATGTATATATATATTACGTATATCCTTGGACAAAAAGAATTGACATATTTTAGTTCTACAGAAATCCCTCTGAATACAGCATTGTTTTCCCACAATGTATTATTTTCCCATTCTGGGATCCATATGTGTCCCAAGGCATTTGGAAATCTGTCAGTGTCATATTTCCGGAGAATATTCAATCTTAAAAAAAGAAGATTTGAGCTGATAGAAATAGAGGATGCCCAGTCTTATATCATAGCGCCTTCGCGATCACCATTTCTGGACTTGATAATTGATGTTTTAGGTTGGGCTAAACCTACGGCTGGCTATACTACGATGAATGAATATACACTTCAGGAGATGTCCCTGTACAATCGTGCTATTGAATTATATGTGTTCATTTTCTTGGGTTTTTTTTGCCTCATACTGGTTTTCCTCATTGTGTTTTGTGCTGGGCTTATCGTTATCACTTTGTGCTTTCTTAAACGTCAGAGATCACGACAATCACGTAGATATAATCAAACATGTACATATATTGTGTGCTGTGAAGAGGACACCCGGTGGTCTGTAGGGATAATTGATTCAGTGATCACAGAGAAAGGTGATACTACCTACATACACAACAGGGACACCCACCCTGGTCAGACAGAACTGGGAGGCATCGGGGCAGGGATGAGGAAGTGTCCGACGTTTGTCATCGTGGTGTCAGAGTTTGCTGTGGAGGACCCGATGTGGCAGCACCAGGTGGACGTCATTCTGTACAGGCTTGTGAGGAGAGAAGTACCAGTCTACAATGTTCTGTTTGTGAGACTTGATGGTGCTCGTTACCCAGCAGCGGCGGATGTGATTCATGGGCGGAACGTAACAATCATTGACTGGGAGGAAAGGAGCATGCAGGAGCAGTATGTTCAGGCTAGGTGTGATGAAGTCAGGTGTTGGGTATTGGCATCTGATCCTAACCTGTATTTGACCAATGGTTAACCAGCTATCTGACGGCTGAATCGGATAATGTTTCTGACATTTCACATTTCACAAATGTACATACTAGGCCGTATTGCGATACGTATCACAGTAGGTAGAAAGTTGCCGCGTCGTGAAGACAAAGGGAACAATACCCAAGAACAATAGTGAACAATAGAAGTAGGTCAACCCTCAACCCTCACCCAACTTTCATGACCTTGAAAGGAACAATAGAAGTAGATCAACCCTCATCCCTCATGGCCTTGTACCCGATGACCTTGACCTTGTACCAAGGTGAACTGAGCATCTTCTTGTATGTCGCAACACCAAGTGAATGAATAGAACAGCTATTGCTTTTGTTCGTCAATGTATCTGTATATAACAGACAACCAATCATTAAAATAGTAAACTTTGCAAGTCGAACATTCATGTTCACTAGTTATTACAGTAATGTCTGTATCATCCACTTTAGAACAGAAACACACTATCCCAGTTCGACTGCTGTGCTTTAGCAAAAAAAAACATTCCACCCTGTCCAAAACTGAAACCTTCCTTCTCTTTTGTCAGGTAGTTCGGCAAAAAAGTCTAGCCTCGCCTCTGGTAGTGAACTCATCTTCTTTTTTAATCATAATCGCACCCTCTCTTTTACCAATCACACCTACAATGTTAATATACTATTTTTAAAAAGTAGGGGATATTTCATTTTGCGATCATACTTGTAACAAATGCAAATGAATACGAGACAAAGTAATATAGATCCTTACAGAGGAAACATTTCCAGTGAAATTCGGCCCCCAAACACAACAATGGCAACCCCAGGATCTGCACGTGATGCTAGTGATGATCATGGGGGTTGAACACCAGATTTTCACGACTTTGAATTTGAAGGTTATACCCATTGTGGAAGGAAATTTGAATGTGGAAACATCAGTTTAATTGTTTTGGAACTCAGTTACCAAAAGGGTGACATGCGCCGACTTACACAAAATGAAAGGTTACGTGCCCTTGGCATGCTACAGGTTGGCACAACACAGACCGTTGTGGCACGGACGATGAACGTTTCACAGTCTGTCATTAGCAGATTATGGTCCAGATATCGTGCTACACATTCTGTTAACGATAGACGACGCTCGGGTCGACCAAGGGCGACAACTCATGCACAGGATCGATTTATCCGTACTTTAGCCTTGAGATAACGGCTAGTCAGATTAGAGCTCGACTACAAGCAGACACTGGTGTGAGAGTGAGTGCCCAGACGATCAGAAATCGACTGCACAGAGGTCATTTACACGCCCGACGTCCTCGCGTCATTCCATGTTTGAGAGATCATCACATTAGGGCAAGACGCCGTTGGTGTCGGGATCGTCAACACTGGGATAATCGACGTTGGAACAATGTAATGTTTTCAGATGAGTCGAGGTTCACTGTGGACTTCCTGGACAGGCGTAGGAGGGTGTGGCGTCGACGAAACGAACGTTTCCATGATGTTAACGTCATTAGACATGGTCAATTTTGGGGTGGATCTGTAATGGTGTGGGGAGGCATCACTGCTGCTGGAAGAACGGACTTACATGTTGTTGCCGGACGTGTCACAGGCTAGTACTACCGGGACAACATCTTGGCAGCCCATGTTGTGCCGTTTGCACGTCGTCATGGCCGCCGTTTCATCTTCCAGGATGACAATGCAAGATGTCACAGGGCCAGGATTGTTTCAGATTACCTCCAACAGCAGCATATCACCACATTACCATGGCCAGCGCTGAGTCCGGACCTGCCCCCCATCGAGCATGTCTGGGACATGTTTGGACAGCAGTTACGTCAGCGTCAACAACGTCCTACCACTGTCCAAGAACTTGGTGCTGCGTTGCAACAGGAGTGGAATAACCTTGACCAAAATGACGTGGGACGCCTCGTAAGGAGTATGCCACGTCGTATCCGTGCCTGTCTAGCCAACAGAGGGGGGTTTACCCGTTATTGACTTTGCTTTCATGTCATGGCAACTTTGCTGTTTGACCCTGGGTTTGGTTTTGCCCTTAGTATGGAAAATCTGTGCTTCACCGGCAGTACCAAAGGTGTGGAATAAATTGACAAATGTTCCCTTAATGTCCTTTCGTCATTTGTTTCCTCTTTGGGTTCACAATTTCCGTGTCATATATCTTGTAAATCCAATATCCCCTACTTTTTTTAATAATATATATAGTCGCTCTCCAGAGACCACTTCCCATGCTCTATCCACGGATCATCTGTACTTTTCAATCCCTTCAGGTGAATCTTGCATTTAACACAGACACAGGTGTCTCCTCTGTTTTCACAGACACAGGTGTCTCCTGTGTTTTCATAGGTAAACCCTGCATGAGCCATGTATTTAGCTTTTTGTTTCATCTGTAAAGGCCAGTTCGGTGTAAAACTAGACAACCGTGTTTCACATTTGCTCCAATCTGTTTCAGGTGTTCGTGATTTGAAACCCACGCTGTCTGTGTAAAGATCCATCTTTTCTATGTGTTGTCTTATTCCTACTATCTGCGCAAAAATGGTACAAACTTTTAAACTCAGGCTTCTTAAATTACTAACTTCAAGTTACTTTATGAAATGACATGTCTTAGACCAATCGCTGTAAATGTTATTTCTAGTTTGAATGCATAACTACCAAATCAGATTTTATGATTCAAATGTTCTATCCATTATTCAATCATATTTCATGTTTCATATAGTTATGAAGATTGGTTTTTCCATCCCTTATACTGCACTCGACATTAAGATTCACTCACTATCGGTCGTTCCACATTGACTACACCACCTATCCCCGCAAACACGGCCACACAGTCTCCCGAGCGGTTCGTATTTTTCTATACAATGTTCTCTCCTTTCAGTCAGCATTATCTTACAAGCTGATGATATGTCATTTAAACGTGCTGACAGCACAGCAAATTTTAAACTGTTCAATCCCCCTTGAACAGAAAACACTTGGAAAACGTGTTAGACATTCTCAGCTACATTCTGGTGGAAATGAATTGATTATTTTGAATCATGAAGAACATGTTAAATTTCTACACATGGAAAAACGTTCATCGTACCGACGATCTTCTCAATGAAACTGTGATGACGCAGTCATCTGAATGGTTTCAAGACCGCCAACAATGTATTGAAGACGCAAAAACAAAATATCATGACGAAGGCAAGTCGACTAAACGCATTATTATCTAGAAAATACGGCCACTTCCTATCGTAGTTGGGGGGCACGGGTGGCCCAGTCGTCTAAGGCGCCGCGATTCGCTGCGCAGAGTTGCGTCCCTTAGGCACGCCAGAAACCTATGATTGTGGGTTCGAATCCCGGTTCGCCCCAATTATGTTTCTAGGTTTGTCAGCACCATACCCGTGCTCGTGGGTTTCACCGAAGTGGTAAACGTCTTAGACCTGCATCTCTTCGGGCTCTCCTCCCACATTAAGCTGACACGCCGTGGTATAACTGGAATACTGTTAAAAGCGGCGTTAAACCCAACTCACTCACTCACTATCGTAGTTGATGAAGTACAGTCTGTACATTATATTCAGTATATTGAATCCTTACTCACCTTATGTTATACCTTAGAACTTACAAAAGTTATTAAACGACTTTCAAACGAATTCTGTTTCGCTTGCATGTTTGAAGAGGAAAATGAACATATTCATACATGTCACAACATGTCGGAAGAGGAGAAGGTCAACCAGTATTTCAAAATGGGGTTTTCTGAGTTGAATGATGATCGTGTTATTGAAAACTGGATTCATCTCATTCACGATGACCCTTGTGTAAGTTGCGTGTCACCATTTATTTTATGTCAATATCAGTGTAAGGATTATCGTGATGCGAGTTTCAAGACAACCCAGTGGATCAACGAACTGAAACAGCGTGTTAAGAAAATGTTGCACTTTGAAAGACGTTTTTTGTATGTTTAAAGAATGTACAAAACAATGATAAACATTATCACATTGTACCTTATAAAACTGTTTGTTGTGAACATTGTATGCACTTAAATTGCTTGTATTAAATTTACCAGTATCACATATTCCTTTGTGTTTGTTCACACACATATATGTATGTACAGTAAACTACGGTTATAACGAACTCAAAGGGACCACTAATTTTAGTTCGTTATAACCGTAGTTCGTTATAAGCATATATACAGCATAACTAAAGAAAATAGTCGGGACCAAAAAGTAAGTTCGTTATATCCGTCAGTTCGTTATAAGCGAGTTCGTTATAAACGTAGTTTACTGTATATATATATATTGCAAGAAATGTTTCACGTTCCCTCAGTTGAATTATGTCTACTCTTCAGCAAGCACCTTTAAACGCGACTGAGAAGAAAACACTAGAAAATTATTATTTCAATCCACGCAAACCTGGCGCTTTTTATGGACCAACAAAATTTCAAAAGTCGTTGAAAAGAAGTACTGAAAGACATTTCGAACTCGGTAAAGTGAAACAGTTTCTCCGAGATCAAGATGCATACAACTTACATAAGCCAGTCAACTACAGATTTAATCGACTGAAAGTGAGAGTGAATTTTATAAATCATCAATTTGACCTAGATTTAACAGATCTGTCGCGTTTCACGAAGCAAAGAGACTCAGTCAAATTTATTCTCACGTGCGTCGACATATTATCTAGGTACGCATGCGCAGTACCTCTTCTCAATAAAAAGCCAGACACTGTTGTGGAGGCTTTCAAAGTCATCTTAAAAGAAGGTCGCGTTCCTAAGAATATACGCGTAGATGGTGGGAGTGAATTCAAGGGTGCCTTTAAAGTTTTTATTGAAAAGCACAATATAAAACTTATCGTCACACATAATGAAAACATAAAAAGCAATTATGTGGAACGTTTCAATAGAACGTTGAAATCGCTGTTAACACGCTACATGACACACAGCAACACAAAGCGATACATTGATGTGTTACAAGACCTTGTCTGTAATTACAATCACACGCTGCACTCATCTCTACCTGATCTATCGCAAGCACAAGTGAACAAAGCCAACGAGATCAAGGTATGGCGATATCTTTATGTGAAACCAATGTTAACCTTCTTAAAAACAAACAAAAGATTGCAAAAATTTCTATATAATGTTGGTGACATGGTTCGCATCTCATAGCTTAGAAAGCCTTTCAGTAAAGAACTTGACGTTCGCTGGACTCAGGAATTGTTTAGAATAGCTAATCGCACACGTAGACAAGGCATACCTATTTATCGTGTAAAAGACTTTTATGGGGAAGTAGTGAAAGGAAGTTTTTATTCTTATGAACTGCAATAAGTAAATAAAGACGCGGACATCGAGTGTAAAGTGGAGAATGTCCTTAAGAAAAAGCATGTGAGGGGAAAATCTACTATTTGGTTCGTTGGTTGGATTGGCCTTGTTCTTTCGATTCATATGTTAAAGAAAGCGGTTTGAAAGACGTGTAAATAGTAAATGGAGAAATATCTGTTTCTTAAGAGCTCAGACTCTAAAATGTCATATTTCCCAGAAAACACGCCATATCACTTCAGAGTAAAATTAAATCAGAGGTTAACGTTTGAGGGTTTTTGTTGCTTTAGTTGAACTCAATTTCGGAAAGACAGATCTTAAGGACATGAACGACTCCTATGTTGATATTCTGTGCAACATATGCGATAGCTCTGTGGTAGGTGAAAGACAGAGCACATTGTTGAGACGTGTTGATTTAAGAAATGGACCCAGTAACTTGTTCGCTAAACCCTTTTACATTCCTGTCTCTGTGAAGGAGACGCCAAATGTAGAATTACATATAAGAGCTAGTAATGGAACAACTGAATCATTTATTAAAGAAGAGACGCATGCGACACTACTCTTACGTCAGTATCCCTCCTTAGACTGAACATTTTATCATGGAGCACTTACCCGTTTATGTACCTGACTATTCTTAATGGAAACAGTACTTTGAGAAACACATTGTAGGAGCAGTGACAAATGTCACTGGGGGTAAAACTAAGAAGATGAATTACATTATTTCTTCAAATAACGTGTCAAATGACAAACGTAAGGAAGCCACTAAAGTTACACTACGAGTGTCATCTGAATCGCAGAGCGAAGTTGAGTGAGCAGGTGCGAAAGAAAAACGCATCAAGGCTATAAAACGCAAAGCAGGTGAGAAGATTGTCACATCCAAGAAAATACGTCGCACTGCAAACATACCTTCAAGAACTGCTAAAGTTCTAAAAAGCACACCTGTTGACGAAGAAGATATCTTTAGTTTAAAAAACAAGCAAAAACACTATGTCAGTGTTAAATGACAAGGACTTCAAAGAACTTGTGCACGACTAGCCTCTCGCTATTCAATCTGCCCCCTTATCAGACCAGTATATTTCAACATTATTTTGTCAACATTCGCCCACTGAGTCAAATCAACGATTCTTCACCAGTGGAGGTTCAGGTAACGAATTCAGGAAGTGATTACATTGATCTGAAACGCTCACGCTTGCATCTGAAGTTGAAAGTCACTCATGCAGACGGCTCGGCGCTAGCTAAAGACGAGCACGTGGCACCTGTTAACTTGTTTATGCAAGCCTTATGGTCTCAGGTGACAGTCTACCTGCAAGGACAACTTGTATCATCGACAAACAACCACTATGCTTACAACAGCATGATGAAGACTCTACTCTACTACGGAATGGATGCGAAGAGATCGCAGCTGCGATCGCAGTTGGTTTACAAGGATGCAGGGGAGACCAATGCCGACATTGAAAGCAAGAACTAATACAGGATTATCAATGCGTGGAAACTTTATTGCAACAAGCAAGAGTCTGACTCTTTCCGGTCCCATCTACGAGGATGTGTTCAACATGAATCGTCACCTAGTTAACGGTGTCGACATGAACCTAAAATTTTACAGAACATCACCTTCCTTCAGGTTAATGAGTGGAAAGAGCGGTCCGTCCTACAATAATGAACTCCTAGATGCCTATCTAAAAGTCTGTAAACTGTAAAGTCTGTAAGGTGAACTCAGCTTTGATTTTGACTCACAACAATCTGCTCTCTATCCTTACATTAAAACAGAGGTGAAGGTGACTAGCATTCCATCGACCCAGCTGAGTCACAGCATAGACAACGTGTCTAGTTACGTAGCCAATCGTTACGTTGTAGGTTTTGTCGATAGTGACAGTCTCAATGGGAGCTATACGGGGAACTGTTTCAATTTTCAATCATCAATGATAAAAACTGTGAGCCTTTTTGTGGATGGTGTCAGTGTTCCTGGAAGACCAGTCGAGACAGACGACATAGGGGCCTACGTTAACCTGTTTGATGGAACAGACTCGTGGGGGAAGAATGTAGGAAATGATATTTCTAGAGGAGAATTCCGACTCGGAAATGCCCTGTTTGTATTCTCGTTAGAACCTGTCTTTCTTGAATCGGATTATCTCAACTTAGCAAGAAGTGGGAATGTAAGATTGGAGGTAGAGTTCACGTCAGCTCTCACCAAGACTCTCAGTTGCATTGTACTCAGTGAAAGAAACAGTATCATCGAAATTGACCAAGCACGAAACGTGTTTGTGAAATAAGGCTATGAACTCTTCACAGTTACTGTGCGCCATTCGGTGTGATCGCAGTTTAAGGACACATGTACTAGGTGCGTACGCCCCCGATACATTACCACACATATCACATACCAACAGAGAAGGGGTTTTATTGTTAACACTGCAGGCAGTACGCAGAAGGGTAAACATTGGCAAGCTGTTTATGATCAGGGAAACAGCAGATCTGTTCAACAGCCTAGGACACCACCCTGATAACGCAATTGTTCAGTACCTAAAGTCCCATGTATCGCATTATACCTACAACACTGTACAGATACAATCATCGGATTCTACTGTATGCGGTCTTTATTGTTTATATTATCTACTTTGCAAAACAAAAACTAGAGTGAGTTTGTATGATGTTGTCAATCAGTTTGACACTAGTAATCGCATATCAATGACTCCTATGTTTTCTATTTTATTTGTCGTTATTTTAGATACTGCACCCATTCGTGCACACCTCGTTGCGCTTACCATTAGTACCTTTGTATGCATGTATATAGTTTCTACATAATAAACTTTACAAATGCCTTTATAATTTCTCTAATTAATAAATATGAAAGCAAAAATGATTGTAGCTCATTGTGTTCTGTTGTTCACCGCGGATACGGTCATGGCTCGGTACGTGCTGAGACATTACGATTTTCTAAGGCATTTATTAGCATTCAATGACAGGCGTGAAATTATAGTGAGTGAGTGTGAGTGAGTTTGGTTTTACGCCGCTTTTAGCAATATTCCAGCAATATCACGGCGGGGGACACCAGAAATGGGCTTCACACATTGTACCCATGTCGGGATTCGAACCCGGGTCTTCAGCGTGACGAGCGAACGCTTTAACCACTAAGCTACCTGACCTGAAATTATAGAAGATATCATCGGTATGAATAGGGAGCAAATGTTAGGCGTTGTAGCTATCGTGAGACGCTTACTGAATAATCAGTTACCTGTAACCAGATATGAAAGGAGACGTTTTCTCCAACGAAACCAAAACAACACGTATCTATCTGTTCTGAGACAGTTTGTACGTTCGAGTACAACAGACCCTATGCGCAAACGACTGTTAATTCGACACACGTCGCTGGTAACATTTATCTTCAAAGTCGATCATGTCAATTTTGTTAGAGATGAAGCCGTCAGAAGAGCCAGACTGTTAGCTCGTGCTTCGGCATAAATACTCATGCAGATGGTGCTAAGGTTCAGTTAGCAATCGCTGTTATCGATTACAACATGTCCTCCTTAACCGATGGCACTATGACTCCAGAACATGCAAAGTGTCTGTTACCCATACAGACGCCTACGACTATCTCAGTGATTGGAGGAACATGCAGTGGGAAGACCTATCTAACCAAACGACTACTGGAGCAGTCGAACAACATGTTCGATAAGCCACCTAACCTAATAGTGTATTGTTACGTATACGCGATCTGGCAGAACATGTATTCCGTCATGCAACAGCTCATTCAAAACATTCAGTTCCATGATTCGATTCCTAATGAAAATTACCTGCGAGAGTGGTCTGAACAGTCAAAGAAAATCCTTAAACTTGATAACTTTATAAATAAAAACAAAAAATATTTGTTATCTAATGTAATAAAATGTTTTACCAGTGTGTACTTAGCGAAGTATTCCAGAATCGAAATACCTTCAATCGAAATTGGATATATATGAATTTTGTAATGAATATATGGTTAGGTTGAATCTGTACTACGAGATCATTTTATACAATAACGGACAAATAATACATTCTCTAGTTCCAAGGGGTTATTCTATATTCGCTATTTAAGACTCACCTCTTTTCGAAAAATGTGTGTTACTTTCCCGCAATATACCAATGCCTTTTCTTAAATACAGAGCCTCTTATCACAATTTGCCGATAGTTCATTGAACCTTACTACATAATAAATCCGATATATAAATTGGATATATGTTATTGGAAAATGTTGGTGGCCTGATGTTCGATAAACGGTGCGTCAAAACGCAAACATTGTGGATTTGCAATGTCTTAGACGGCATTGTTTTCACGCTTTTCAAAAATGTTATGGAGGAAACCAGTAATTCAAAATGCACGTGCAAGTTATGACATTCATATCTCGTGGTAGTGGCTATAAAAAGACAAGCATAACCCAATAATTTGTCATTCAATTTTCAACATGTTCAAGCCTCACCTTTCTCCAATCATTGACCGCCAGAGGGAGCTGTTTCAACAGGACAACGATCCACCGCACACAGCTCGTGTCACGGCAGACTACCCGCCTAATGCCATCATCAACGTCGTTTCCTGGCCGTCGAGATCTCCAGATCTCAACCAAATCGAAAACCTCTGGTATGAATTCGATCGACGTGTACGTCAACGTCAGAACACGCCGCAGACACCCCCACAACTGGCCAACGCGTTTCAATCAGAATGGCGCAGAATTCCGCAGGACAGAATTCGTACACTTATCCGGTCAGTGCCGAGAAGATGCAGAGTCGTGATTGCTGCCCGGGGCGGTCACACGAGATACTGATTTCAGTGCAACCTTGTGCATGGCATTATGTGACATGACAATGAACAATTTTCAATGCCTTTGTACAACGACAACATGTAACTATCGAGCTCCAAAAGTTCATCCAAATGTCAATATCTATGATATTAAATGAAATATATCGACTTTATTGGGTACAATAAATGTACTAAAAATCTAACTTTGCGTTTCTTTTTTTGAAGAGTGTATGTATTCAGCATCAGGTATATCGATGATCTAATATCGTTTAAAAACCATCAAATAGCCGATTCCTTTCCACTGATTTACCCACCTGAACTTGAAATAAAGGAGACGAGTGCGATCCTCTCATATGTATCATATTTAGATCTATGCATAAAGATTCAGAGTGACAAAAGACTCCCCTTAAGATTAAATGACAAGATGGATAAATTCAGCAGTTCCAGCCTTTGGTGTTTACATTTCACAACTCTTGAGGTACAATCGCGCATGCTCTTTCTTCCAAGGAGCGGTCGGGTAGCCTAGTGGTTAAAGCGTTCGCTCGTCACGCCGAATACCCGGGTTCGAATCCCGACATGGGTACAATGTGTGAAGCCCATTTCTGGTGTCCCCCGCCGTGATATTGCTGGAATATTGCTAAAAGCGGCGTAAAACCAAACTCACTCACTCACTCTTTCTTCCAAGATTTCAAAGACCGTCACACGACTCTTGCTCAGAAGTTGTTTGATCAAGGTTACAAAATCCAAGGCCTCAGCAAAGCTTTAAAAACGTTTTATGGTAGCCATGTGGAGGACATTTCCAAATTTGACGCATCAGTGACAAAGATGATGTCCGATGCAATTCCCTATTTTCACTTGTACCCATATGCTCCCATGTTGTTGTTTTTCTCAGAACAATTGACTTGCCTTTGCATGTGTTTGCGACGAGAGTCAAGTGTGCTTTTGGCAGAATGTTTTTATGAATATGGAAAGGGGTCTGTCGCTTTTATTCCAAATGTCAACCAGAGATTGGTACAACTGATCTAGCGTTACCGGCTGGTGTTGGTCCTATCGTTGGCGTCGATCCATCCTATCAGGTATGTTTTATGGAGGTCTAGAGAAACAGCCGGCCCTGGCAGTACAGCAATGTCATGCTGCCTCAAAACATGACGTGCAACATGTGGGCGGGCTGCAACGTGACGTTACGTGCTGCGTGCGCCATTTATGTTGCCATGAACAACGATGAGCTGGGTTCTCCAATGAGTAGAGATGCCACGTGTACCCATCGATACAGAATATATTTCAAGATAGAGAGCGAACGTGAACATGGTAACATGAAAGTGCAACCGGAGTGTTAACCGAAGAACTACAAAATTGATATCGTACATGCTGAGAAGAGATGTATACTCTGTAATTAGTAGTACTACATCATAAATGCAAGTTGCTGATTCTCTTTTGAGAGACCGTGTTTACTGTGTTGTAAGCAGCTTCGCACCCAGCGCTTATTGGATTTGTTTGTTTATTGTTTAACACCGCCCTCAGCAAGCCTGACCACCCGATCCCGTTAGTCACCACTTAGCTTCACTTACGACAACCATGGATTGCTGGAGACAAATTCTAACCCGGATCGTCACGAGTTTGTTTTGTTGGGTAACCTAACGCCTAACATGCAGCTTGATTTGTATATATACTCCCCAGGGAGCTGAGAATGATTCTTGCGCGCACACTGATAAAGTGACCGGGGTAATAATTGCGCATTGACCATGCCCCTGTGTGGTCTGGAAGTATGCGCAAAATAAATGGCCTATCATCACCATCATCATCATCATCATTATCATTATCATCACGGGGTATCAGCTTGGTGAGGAAGGAAAGCCCGAAGTAATGCAGGTCTCGGACGTGGTAACCACTTTGGTGAAACCCAAGGGTATGGTCCTGACAAACCGAGAAATATAATCAGAAAAAATCTGGGATTCGAACCCATGATAACAGGTTTAGGGTATGTACGCCTAAGGGACGCAACTCCACACAACCACCTTCAGCAGTCGACTGGCTTACCATGCAGTACGTACCCGTGCTCCCGCACTGCCGTAAACCGCGTAAAATAATTCGCACACATCTATGCTTCGAGATGATTCTTTAAAAATATATATCAGATTTTTAGATATTACAACTCCGATTTTCGTTTGAAAATTCTGTGAAATTCTTTCACGATTTATGAAATTACCAGAGAGACAAACATTAAATTCCCTAGATCTATGTTAAAATATCAATATCTTAAGATATCGGTACTCATTTATCAATATCAGCTGGAATAAACAATTTGATGTCATTACGTGCCGAAAAGGTAAATGTGCCATACGTCAGACTTGAAAGAAAATAAAAACACGTCTGGGTGCACTTTTTTCTGTGATCTCGTTAATATGACATTGTAAATAGTAATCTCTTGTATGGATAAACGGGTCTCGGGTCTCGCGCGCCTTTCAAAACAATCACTGTGTCTTTGACAGGCTTCTATCTAAAACATAAACACAGTTTACATGACATGGTTGCTTAAGGATAGGATTTACGAATAAATAGAAAGTGATATTGCGTAAACATGATGTACTATTTGTTCTGTATTTGCACATGCCTGACCCACGCGCAAGAAGTCATTGTTGACAGGGATGCTCGCTCTGCGGTGAAACTCAAGAAGCTAGTGAACGAAGACTCCTCAAGCTCCTAGAATTGCAATGACAGCTGATGATAAAACTGACACGTGACGAGGAGACGACGCGTGTATGTATTTGTCAAACAGTTGCCACTTTTAGACGTGTTCCTATATAAGATGTGTTTGTGTTCGAGGGTCTGTGCATTGACCTGAACTTTTTTTAATCAAAATGAACCATAGACACACAAAGTTGTCTGAGCTGCAGAACAGATGTTGTTCCAGATGAGTGCACACTACACGCTCAGCGACCTTTCTGCCCACTGTATATGTGTCAATGGAAAGTAGGCCTATCGATGAATGATTATGATCAGCATTGACTCTTATGAGGCCTATTTTCGTTGTTACGGACAGCAACATTTTAAATCGAGTTCAAAGTTTGAGTATGTTCCACAAATCAAGAAAATGGAAGATTGTACTATCCATGTTTATGTTTTGAATTGTGAAACAAACAAAAACAAACCTAAAAGCATGTGGATTGGAAGAACGGTCCGCCTCGAATCCTCGTTTCAATATTATGAAAGTCATCAAAGTTGATGATTGTAGATCTAGGTGAAGACACAAACAAAGATACTTCATTCCAGTCTATGCACTAGACTGTGATAATACACAGTTAGGCTTCAAGGTATCACCCAAGATTTAAATAATATTCCTGATTTATTGGCCTATTTGATGTGTGCTAAATTCAGTGTTTTGGTGCCAAACTTGCATGTGAGGTGGGGCTAGTTGGGAGGGAGGGGGGGGGGGGGGGAGTTGAGGATAAATAAAAAAAAGTCAGATCTACATAAAATGGTGTGTGTGTGTGTGTGTGAGCAAGTGTGCAAACTATGATACAGTCCTCTTATGACTAATCTCACCCACCCTTTAATATACAAAAATGGTACCAAATAAATCCTCTTGCTTCGCCTCTAAATGGCAAGAAACTAGGGCTGGGACAGGTGACTCGGGTACTCGGGTCGGGTGGGTACTGAGTAGGACCCGGGTACTCACAGGGCTACCCAGACCCATGGTTAGTCACGTGATATATTGTTTCATGACAAAAAAATATCTAAAACTCTATGGTTACACTACAAGTCACTATTGTTGGCATTTCTTTCTGACTATGCACCCATTCCTTCTGACCTTTATAGGTTTGAATAAAGTGTATGCAGTATAAAGTTATAGGTTTGAACTTCAGTGTATGCATAACCAGATCGTTTTATACGTGTATCTAAATACATTTTACCTGGGCTACAGTCAAACGTTTCCCAATCGGACTTTTTACACCCAAGTCTTGAGACATATAGCGGGTATCCGGGTAGGGTCGGGTAATAGCTTGGTGGGTACCCGGGTTGTAAATTTGGACTCGTCCAAGCCTTACAAGGAACCATTTTACTGCTGAGTGAGTCGTAAGTTGTGAACTACGTCAAGTTGCCAAAGACACCACATTTAACATGTTATAATTGGGCTAGAATTGGTCTTCAGCCAACCATACTTGCCATAAGAGGCGCCTATGACTATGTGGTCAGGCTTGCTGACTTGGTTGTGCATGTCATATCCCAATTGTGTTGATTGATGCTCATGATGTCAATAACTGGATTACCTGGTCCAGATTTGATTATTTACCAACAACATATAGCTGGATTGTTGCTATGTGCAGTGTTAAACAACAGACAAATAAATGTTATACTCAAGGTAGACACAATTTTATGGATAACAACTTCTTTAATACTGTAACAAGCGACGTTTCGGTATATATATCCTTATACCGTTGTCAAGCAAGACTGAATGAGGGACATCGTACAGAATATATATAGTAGGTGGATGAGTAACACTGGAGGATTAACAGTAATAACAATTGCTTACATGAGTGGGATAACATAGGTAGATCCAGGCTATTTCATCCCATCCGCCTACTATGAACTCATCAAGCAATATCGGTAGTTGTACATTGCAAATGGATAATTTGATTATATAATGCCTCTTGTAGCTTTTTGCATAACTAATATAGAATGCAAAGCGAATTTGATGCGTGTGACTTTCTTATTTGGTTTAAAAAAGTGTTTGTAAATGTCTCTCGCTTCATGAGATTCTTTCGGTTCCGCCTTGTAGGCTAGTTTTAATACGTTGTGTAAAAGTAAATGATGTCTTGTGATCTTTTTATGAATGAAAAAAGTACTTCTGGTGTGGTAGAGGTCACAGTTATCCAATCAAAATGAATAAAACGAGGTCAACCTTGTATGACACACACGTGACGTACGGATTTAGTATCTTACCACCTGTATCTTCACCACATGGGTGATAAATGCATTTAACAGATGGTTAATTGTAATATCCCATTGGGTCTTGTCATTAAATTGTTTAAAAATTAGATATTGATGTTTATTTTGAAAAAGCAATCTATGGTTACTGATTAAAAGATGAATAACAAGAATCGTGCATAACATTGACATATGGACCATTTTCACGATACATGTATTTTTTACATGTTATTGTCTGCCCTGGATAAACATCATATTGAAATCCTTCTGACAGGCTTCTTCTCATTCCTTGAGTTGTCTCCATCATGTGGGCTACCCTGGCTCAAATTTAAAATAATTCTAAAGAAAAATGAATGTCAGTATCACATACTGATTTCAAAATCTCAAAAACTTATTTTGAAACTTCTTGTTTCAGCGTCCTGTAGTGAACAACGAACGGGATCATGTTCCAGTCATTCATAGCCTTATTTTGAAACTTCTTGTTTCAGCCCCTTGTAGTGAACAATGAACAGGATCATGTTCAAGTCATTCATAGCCTTATTTTGAAACTTCTTGTTTCAGCGTCCTGTAGTGAACAACGAACAGGATCATGTTCCAGTCATTCATAGCCTTTTTTTGAAACTTTCTGTTTCAGCGTCCTGTAGTGAACAACGAACAGGATCATGTTCCAGCCCTTCTTGACCTCTGGGTCGGGTCATCCCCAGCACCCCTACTTGGTCGCCCAGCCAGGGGTCTCCCAGCAGCCCCTGTTCCCGCTGCCCCAACCCTACCAAGCTCAACAAGGGCTTCAGTACACAGCCATGCAATATCCGCAAGGGAGTGTTCCAGTGCAAGTGGGGAATCCCCAGGTTCCAGGCAGGGCAGTGCTAGGAGCCGGACACATGCCTCCACCAATGCCACATGGATACAGCATGCATCAACCATCAGTTACCAGTCCACAAAAAACATATCAGTTCTCTTGGAATGAAGCTCGAGCTCAGGCTCAAGGTCAGACTCAGGCCCTATCTGCCACTTTGCCTCAACCTCCTACCAACTCGGCTCCATCCCATCACTTGACCCAACCCCTTGCCATACCTCCTTCACACACTGTCCACATTAAACCTTGGAATATTCCGTCTAATGCTGCTTCTAGACCAGTACAACCCACTCTTTCCAGTCTCGCAAACTCGCAGCAGGTGCCATATCTTACTGGGCCATCATGCACATACTCCTCGATGTGGACAAAGTCCACAGAAAAGAAAAGTATGGATGTTATGATGTCAGCCTCTAATCCTCTTTCAGCACCTGTTCTTCCCCAAACCACTGTCCCCCCTCCTGTTCTTGCTTCAACTCGTGTCCAAGCACCTGTCCTTGATAAGACTCCTGTACTTGCTCCATCTCCTGCTCCTCCTAAGTCTAGCTATCAGTCTCAGAATGTGCCCTTGAACATCAAGTCTGCCTATGGAATGACAGACATCAACACTACTGTCACCTCTGATGCCCCTTCAAAGAATGCCTGGTCCACGGCCATTCATGAAGAGTCTGGCTCCTCTACAGTAGATGATGATGGCCCTCCTATTGCACCGCATCCTTTTGCTATGCTGAAAAATAATGGTGATTGATTTTTTATTTCTTTATTATCCCCCCAGTTTAAAAAACGGGGGGATATAGCAATCAGCATGTCTGTCCGTCAGCTGTCCGTTTTCTGTTTCCGGAGCAGAACTCCAAAACCATATATATATATATTTCTTGTTTAAACTTTGTATATAGATCAGTCTAGTTGGGAACTGGTGCCTTTTCATGATTTGGGATTTTATTTTAATTTTAATTTTATTTTCATGACAAATTTCAAGACATTTTTTACGTTACTGAAATTGAAGGTAGTGCTCATTAGCAGAACTCCAAAACTGTTTAATATTTCTGGATGAAACTTGCTATAAAGATCAGTCTATTGGTGATTTGGTGATTTTTCTTTTTTGTCTTTATTTTCCCTGTTTCATGAGGACAATATACAGATCAGTCTAGTGGTAAATGTTAGTCCAGCCATGATAGAACTCCAGAATTCCAGCTTAGTTCGGCAAGTGTGGAAACTGGACTTTTATAGTCAGTTAACTCCATGCCTTTGCAAGATGTAACCTGGTAAGCTCTAAATAAATGTTGGATATTTGAATATCTGTAGGGATTGATCCCATGGGTTGCTGCAAAAGGCGATTACTGAAAGAGTTATTTTTGTGCTTTATGATTTACCTTGAAACATTATGGTGTGTAGCAATTGTCTTCTTGCCTATGTAGTAGTTAAACAATTGTCTAAAAGCAAGCATCAGTTTCAACTATATTGACTGCGGTCACTGTCTGACTAATCACTGACAAAATATACCAGTGCACACATTCAAGGAAATGTTTGCTTGCTTAGTTACCATTTGTGACTGATAAGAAGATATTTTTCACAACAAATATAAGAATGACATATCACACTTGTGTGTTTTGGGATGGGAAACATTCTATATTAGGAATAATAACTATGTATTTATTTTTTCGCCAAGGCTAGCTAAGTTCAATGTTTATTCCTATTTTGGATATTTACCATCCCCAACCACATGCATGACAACCTCTATATATATATACCCTATAAAAGAAGTTGTAATTATAACAGTTTGCCTCTTCTGTTTCACTGAAATGCTCTTTTCAATTTCGAATCCCCAGGTCTATTTTGCTGTTCATGCAATTTGTCTAGTTTCTTTATGGGGAAGTGCTTTTGTTTTTGTTAAAATATTTCTCTTTCCAAATTTTAAGAAAGTGCTAATTGACTTTGAAGAAACGGATACAACTTAGTTAATTATTAACTTTGATCAACAATTATCAGAAAAGTTTTGATTTACTTGTTTTGTTTCACTTTCTGGGCGAGTTTAAATGGGCGAGTTCAGTTGTCACAGAAGCATGTGATGTCATCCATTGTATCATGATGTCATCGCATTCCAGAGATGTCATAGCATTTCAGAGGGACAGTCTGTCTCACAACTGTTAGAACTCACATAGCTAGAGTGTACTTCAGGAAATGACTTACCTTTTGTATTTTACACTATTGGTACACACTGTGTTTTCACATTTGCTAGTTTATGTTGAACAGTTGATGTGAGACCTCCAGTTAAACCCTTGGATTCCAAATGAAATTTCTCATCAAAAACTAATTAAACCGTAAATCTTAAAGCACATAATGTTTGTCTTCTAATTACATATTATTCCTAAAGATGAATATTTTCTTGTTCATTTTGAAACATATGGATAAAAAATTATTGTATATCCAGCCTTACAAGTTGAAGATACTGAAACAGGCGTCGATTCCAAAACAGCCAGTCAAAGTGTTGATGCAAGGATATTTGGAACTCGGGACCAACTAGGATCGAGGATGACATCCGTGAAGAAATACTTCACAGAGAGAGTTAAAGCAGACAGGTTCATGGAAATTGCCCTCAAACGTGGGATAGTAGTCACTGCTGCCGAAGCTGAACCTTCAACAAGAACAGGTGCCCTTGTATCAAATACGGAAAGTGGAACAGCATCCCAGAGTGGAGATGACTCTGATATTAACTCCATAGTGAGTTGGAAGGAAGACGCAGATGCTCACACTGACTCTGGCAGTGTGGACAACACTGATGCCAAGTCCTCAACATCTGAAGGATGCTCCAGAAAGTCGGACGGCTACCTGAGTGACTTCTCAAATGAATTTGCTAAGGTTATAATTGAAGATGCATGTTGTGAACTCAACCTTGAACTCAATCATGAACTCAATGTGAATGCCGTTCCATTTAATCCTGTGCCCTTCTCGTCAAGACTTGATGCCACTGCAAAGGAATTTAAATGTCGATTTACTGCTGAAGAAGCATCGCCATCAGCTTTGTCTCTGAATCCTGATAGTCCAGAGTTCAAGCCTAGCTTCTTCAGGGATAAGGCAAAGAATAAACCTGATCCTGAGGACACTGATGAAACTGAAGCTTCAGATGAACTCGATGTGTGCAAACTGTTTAAGAAGAACCATTCCTCGGGAGTAGATGTATACATTGCGGATGCACCAACACCAGAGGCAGAGACCCCAAAGGCTCCATGTCAGTCAGATGCTTTGTTTGTCGATGTTGCTGTGAATACAAAGAGGATTAGAATAAAGGATGTGGATGTTCAAACTCCTCTTGCATTCGAACCACGAGATGTTGGAGTCAACACAGAGGAAGCGTGTTCTGATGAGACATCGGAATTCTTCACGCCACAGATGGTGGTAAAGATGAAGAGTCAAGGTGTGAATGCCTGTGTTGAGACAAGATGTCGACAGGTCCAGGTCAAGATAGGGCCCAAGATGAAAAGTCAAGGAGTGCAGGTTGGGTCAACTGATGACCCGGTTGCCAAGCAATGTGACGTGTGCCCTGAGAGGGACATACAGCTGATTGAGACACAGGTTTGATCCTTATCTTTATCATGTTATTAGTAAGGCTGAAAAGAGTAGCTGTTCACAGATTGACAGGTTAATTCAGATACATGCTTGGATTAATATCATTGGTGCATAAACACATTTGGTGTAGTTGTCGTTTCAAGATCCTTGGTATGTTAGCGCATGTTCTTTTTTTCACGAAAGTGGTCAAGTTCTTGACCTTAATCACTTTGGGACATGTTTGGACTTTCTTTCCCCATTACTTTTGTGATACGACTGAAATACAGAATCATGTCGTATGACAGAAGTACTTTTCAAAGCAGCCTTTACCCCAGCTGATTTCGGACGGTTGCAGTACTTTTCAAAGCAGCCTTTACCCCAGCTGACTTCGGATGGTCACAGACTTCATCACCTGGTGCAGCTGATGTTTGTTCTTGTAGATGCAGCTGTGTCACCTGAAGGCCCAGATCTGTATCAGCGAGCTGCAGCGGCAGCTGGACGACCTTCAACACAGCAAGATGCAGATCACGAGCTTCTTCTCTCCACAGTATGTTCATTAGTTCTATGTTACCCGTGAAGGTCTGGTGAGGTGAAATGGGGTTTAATGTCACGTCCAAGATTATTGCACTTATATCATGTATATAGCGACGTGCATGCACGTGTGTGTGTTTGTGTGGCTGCTTGTACTAGTACGGACTGATGCCGATTTATAGTGCTAGCTCACTGAGATACCATGCCGCAGTTTAACATGAATACCCCACTCAGACACAGTATACTGACTCCGAGCCGACCAGTCCTTGTTTTAGCCCCTTAATGCCGAGCGCCAGACAGGGTAACAACAAGTACCATCTTTTAACGTCTTTTGGTATGACGCGGCCGGGGATCGAACCCCGGACCTTCCGCTCTCCGGGCGGACGCTCTACCACTAGACCACGGAGGCGGATCGTGAAGGTCTGGATTAGAAAAGGTCTTCAGCAACCTATGCTTGTCATAAAAGACGACTATGTTTGTCGTAAGAGGCAACTAATGGGATCGGGTGGTCAGGCTCACTGGCTAGGTTGATGCATGTCATCATATCCCAGTTGCGTAGATCAATGCTCATGATGTCAATCACTGGATTGTCAGGTCCAGACTCTATTATTTACAGACTGCCATGATGTTGCTGGAATATTGCTGGGTGCGGCGTTAAACAACAAACAAACAATGTGGAAATTCAGGGCCCCCAGTAATCCATGGTTGTCATGTGAGAGAAGGTAGGCTAGACCCGACTTCATGTGGAATTGAACCAAATAGTGCTGTTATTGCTCATTCTACAGCCCGTGGTTTATTTGTCCAGAACTGACTGTTGGCAATCCACCATGAAGTAGCTTGAATATTGCACAACCTGTGACGTTAACAACATGGAATACATTAGCGTCCTGTTGGTTTGTTTGTTTGTTGTTTAATGCGTCCATTAACTTACTGACCCGTGAAGATTCCGGGGTAGAATAGGTCTTCAGCAACCCATGCTTGCTGTAAAAGGTGACTACAACATGGAATACATGAGCTTACTGTTTTTTTGTTTGTTGTTTAATGCAGGTCCATTAAGTTACTGGTTACTGTCCTAAGCGGAGATGCAATGTCAGAAATTAAGTGTCTTCGCCGGATTCCTTGAGTGAGTGAGTGAGTTGAGTTTAACGCCGCTTTTAACATTATTCCAGTTATATCACGGCATGTCAGCTTAATGTTGGAGGAAAGCCCGAAGCGATGCAGGTCCCAGACATTTACCACTTCGGTGAAACCCACGAGCATGGGTATGGTGCTGACAAACCTAGAAACATAATCAGGGCGAACCGGGATTCGAACCCACAATCATAGGTTTCTGGCGTGTCCAAGGGAAGCAACTCTGCACAGCGAATTGCGGCGCCTTAGAAGACTGGGCCACCCGTGCCCCCGGATTCCTTGAGGTTTATTTCTGTGATATTCAGTTTCCATATAAGGCATAAAATTCAAGCTTGTGTGGTCATAACCCCATTCTTGACAGCTCAAATCTTTACTTAGCATTAATATTATGACAAGGATCCCTTGATCCTTCATCTTCATGTTTGACCACCATGGTACGCTGTGTTGTAGGTCTGGGGTAGACTCCTTGACAGACATGGTGGATGCACGAATTGTCTGGTTGCAAGAGGAAATAGCACAGACCAAGGTATTAATGTGTTTTATTTAATTAAGGGTTATAACTTTTAGATTTGGACTACAAGAAGTATGCTTGTTTCAGATAACACAACTTTGGTTGGTTCTCGGTTTTACTATCATTTTATTATTGGTTATACTATCAAGTAAAATTATGGGTAGGTTTATCAGAAATGTTCATGATGTTGACTTGAATGATCAAGAGAAGTCTGTCGGATTACCTGATAATGTCCATGGTTGGAGGCTGAAGCCTGTGTTTGTGTGTGTGTTCTTCAATACCACACATAGCAAAACTCAAGCTATACGATGGTGGCTTGTAAATAATCAAGTCTGTACAAGATAATTAGTAATTTTCCCCGCCCCAACGAAGTTGGGAGGGGATATAGAAATGGGTTCCGTCCGTGTGTGATTGCGTGTGTTCGTGAGTGTGTGCGTCCCGAAATCGTTTCCGGAGCATAACTCAGAAACCGTTCAATAAATTCTTACAAAACGTTGCATGTTTACCAGGCACATACTGAACTGGTGCCTTTTGCTATTTAGGAGTTTTATAAATTTTTATTTTTTACGTTTCCATGGCAACAAGTTGGACTTAGGTTCTATAAGGGTGCTGTTTGTTTCCGGAGCGTAACTCAAAAACCGTTAAATAATTTCTTACAAAACTTTGCATGTCTACTAGGCACATACTGAACTGGTGCCTTTTGCTATTTAGGAATTTTATTATTTATTTTTTTTTTACGTTTCCATGGCAACAAGTTGGACTTAGGTTCTATAAGGGTGCTGTTCATTTCCGGAGCGTAACTCAAAAACCGTTAAATAATTTCTTACAAAACTTTGCATGTTTACCAGACACATACTGAACTGGTGCCATTTGATATTAAGGAGTTTTATAAATGTTTATTTTAGAATTTCCATTGCAGCTATTTTGACATGGCCTAAGAGAAATGTTGGGTCAGTTACCTGGTTTGGGACCATAACATGTTAAAATGGCGGGGGATATAGATGACTTTGTTGACTATACGCTTGTTGAAATTGTAAAGCCCCTGGGAAGCCTTGTTTGGATTATTTACGAGTTGGGCCAGAGCAGAAGCCTGTTGGTATTAAGTATCGGCGACCCCAAACAAGTTACGGCTACACAAGTTTGCCAGCTAAAATTATGCATTGAACACACAAATGTACAAACAACAAAGATTTAATAACTTTGCAATATTTTAATAGATGTAGCACTTATAAGATTTCTGTCTAAACTATTGCAGCGATTTATAATTACGATTACTTCTAATTTACTTTTAATATTTACCCGAACGTGATGGAAGTTGAAATCTGTGACCCCGCCTCAAGCCAAAACAAAACATGGATCCCACACCCCTCGCGCGATGATGTCATCATCAATGATCCATCGCACTAATTAGAGCCATGTCTAAAAATAGATACCCCCCTATTGTATCAATATTATAAGCAATAATGCACACCGTCTGGGTAGGGTGTCAAGCCATGAACCTAGTCACTGAGCCTGACCACCCGATCCATTACATCCCATCTTACAACCAGCATAGGTTGCTGCAGACCAATTCTAACCAGAAATCCCAATGAGTTGAAAGCTGAAGCAAACCAATCATTGATGAAACCTACTTTATTGAAACTAGCCTGAGCTAAAGAAACAGTTTTACATCTGGAGTAGATCATGGTTTTCCATTTTTGATATTTCTATGACATAATCATTACGTTACATTGCATGGCTTGTCTGTCACAGATTCACCTGATGAACTGTCTGAAGGATCTCCAGTGTGGCCACCCACTGTCTGCCATCCCAGCATTCAGCATCACCCTACCCACCATTATGGGCAATGAAGTCTATACACCTAAAGAGGTACACACATATTTCCACATGTTACTTCAGCTTAGCTCTATAGTATATGGTGCAGGGGTCAAGGTGCCCCACCCGTCTAAGGCGCCGCGATTGGCTGTGCAGAGTTGCTTCCCTTGTGCATACCAGAAACCTATGATTGTGGGTTCGAATCCCAGATTCCCCCGATTATGTTTCTTGATTGTCAGCATATACCAGTGCTGGTGGGTTCACCAAAGTAGTAAATGTCTAAAAACTGCATCACTTAGAGCTTGATCTCGCATGAAGCTGACACTGTGATTTACTGGAATACTGTTCATAGTGGTGTTCAGCCAAACTCACTCATTTTGTTTTGTCATTGGTTACAGCTGAAGTTTCTGAGGAGTCCCCCAACAGATGTGAACACTGAATCTCCACGCTCACGGAAACGTGCACATGAGAGAGACAAAGCTACTATGGATAGTGTATGTCCTCTGAAAACAATGCCCACTTGTGGAAGCTTGGAAAGACTATCTCCCCAAAAGACGATGCCAGGTCTTCAAAATATATCACCATGCAAAACTATTCCTGGAAATGAAGCAGTATCGCCACAGCAGGCCATGCCTTATGAGTTAGGATTTGAAAGAATGTCACCATACAAGAGTACTGTTCATGAAATTTCTGAAAGACCATCGCCTCCCCTAACCATGCCATTTGATGCAGGTGTAGAAAATATGTCTTCCTTCAATACAGTGTCTGCTGATGAAGGGTTTGACAGAGTACCAACCCGACAACTTGTGGAAGAAACCCTCCTTGAAATGCAAAGAGATAGGTCATGGAAAGGCAGCGAATCTGATGCTCCTCAAATCCGGGAGTCGGGATCATTGAAAGATCCAGATTCTGATGATGCCGAAATTCATGAGTCAGAATCTCTGAAAGGCCAGGAATCGGATTCTACCTCCATTCATGACTCTGGAGCTGAACCTTCTGCCATGGCTGTCCGGAAGTGTAGTTCTGTAGAATCGGGATCAGAAATATTGAACTCCGACAGTGAAGAAGCTACTTTGTCTATAGCAAATGAGGGAGCTACTGCCAGTTCTTCAGAAACAGCAATGTTTGCTTCATTAGAACTTGTATCTGGTTCCAGTCAGGAGAGTTTGTCCAACTGTGTCTTAAATCCTGTGATGATATCTTCGTTGTCTTCTTGTGAGGGTGACAGACTTGAACAGATGTCATCACAGTGTTCTAGTAAGTCTTCAGTCACTGAGGATGCAACTGCTGGAACTGAATCTCAACACTTTTCTGAACTTTCAGAAGGAACATCCACATCATTAACACCCCCTGAGAAATCTGCTGATCCTGAAACAGGACATTGTGCTGAGTCAGAGGAACTTGTTACTGACAATGTCACCAAGCCTGAACCATTACCATGTGTGGAAAATTTAATGACAGATAATATGAATGTAACTATTAAAACTGCAAACCTAGAAACTACAAGAACTGATGCTCCTGTCACCCTAGATGACACACAACAAGAACATGAACCAAACCAAAGTGGTGAAAACATTTCGTTGCCAAAACCACTAACAAGAATCTCATCCAAAGGATCATCATTAGGGTCACTTCCAAAACCCATCCCCCCTCTCCCTCTGAGATTGCCCCCAAGAAGGCGGTCAGAATTTGTCGGCTCTCCTGACCGAAGCTCAAAACAGGACTCTGAGTACGAAACTGCGAGCAGTAGCCTGTCTTCCACACCTGTTGCCACGGATACAGAGGAGAGGGCTTCTGGGGATGCAACTGAGATGAAACTTGATGCTGTGAAACCGGACTTGGACAAAAGAGTTCCTCCAGGATTTGAGAATACTCAGGTACCAGTACACTATATCTAAAGTTGGGTGGTTGTCTTACTTGGTTGTCTTAGAGGGAAACTTGTACCATGTGGTATTTTTTGGTGAGATATATAGTGTCCTACCACTTCTCCGACTTAGTATTAGTTTGTACAGGGTATATGATCTAGGTATTAATGCTTCCAGCATTGTTTAGCTATCAAACATATGCGACCCGTGAAGATTCCAGGGTAGAATAGGTTTTCAGCAACCCATGCTTGCCGTAAAAGGTGACTATGCTTGTCGTAAAAGGAGACTAATGGGATCGGGTGGTCAGGCTCGCTGACTTGGTTGATGCATGTCATCGATCCCAATTGCGTGGATCGGTGCTCATGATATCAATCACTGGACTGTCTGGTCCAGACTCGATTATTTACAGACTGCCGTTATATAGCTGGAATATAGCTGAGTGCGGCGTTAAACAAAAAAAAAACCAACCAATCAAACATATGCATGTTTATTGTCATTGACATGTCATAGTGTCATTCAGTTATTGGTTGTAATACCTTTATATGTGTTTTGGAATTGTTACAGAATGACATTGAGGAAGACATTAATGACATTGTTGAATGTGGCATGAACACTAACCTCCTTATGAAGAAAGCCAAGAATGTTCTTCAGAACTTCCAACTTGCAGCAGAGAAAGGCAGACTGGATGCAAAGGCTTCAATTTCTGGCTCCCCTGTCAAACCAAAGACCTTATCTCCACAAAAACAACAGGACAAATGTTCTCCAGACAAGCCAAGGACTGATGTTTCGCCGAACAAACCAATGAATGTTTTGCCTCCTCCACAAGATTTGACAACCACTCTGTCTTCTGATGTCTCTGAGGACGAGCAACCATTTGTGATGTCAACAGGGAGGTCTGTTGCTGGAACTGGTGAGGTGTCCAAGGTGGTGAAGCGAGGGGTTGGAGAAAGAGGAGGAGAAACAGTAGTTTCCCATCTGAAGGCTAGTGCTATGAAACGACTGGGGGTCAGACAAGCTGTAGTAGATGAGAAACCATCTCCAGACCACATGGATGTAAATCTGCCACCTTCAGGTAATCCACATCATGGCCGTGGTTTACCTATGACAGAAGCAATCCAGGAAAACTTCAACACAAATCATAATATTAGTGCATCACCTTTAAGTAATCCATGTCAAGGTTTTGGTTTACCTTTGACAGAAACACCCCAGGAAAACTTCAATACAAATCATCATACTGAATCATCAGAGATCAATCAACCACAAGTTCACCCCCAGCAACAACTTCAGCAACAACAGCCACCATCTCAGCAAGTACCACAGCCACCTGTACAACAGGCGATGCAACCCGATCAGTTGAATCCTAATTTGTTTCAAGCTGTGTTGGCACAAGTTGTTAAGGCCTACCCTCAACTCACGTCAAACCCAGTGATGTTGCAGACAGTGTGTGTACAACAAACAATGGTGCTGCAGTCCTATATGAAAGTACCCGGAGCGGCCTCAGCCGGTCCGGGCATTCCAGGAACACATCCCGGAGGAAATCCCGTAGCACATCCTGAAGAACATCCCAAGCCACTTCCTGAAGCACATCGAGAGGCACATCATGGGCCATATCACGAGGCACATCCTGCATCAGAGAACTTGCAGTCAATACAGATGAACTATGCCAGTCCACTTGGCCAGAACACCAACCCTTTACAAGCCCCAACATCATCAGATGCCATCAGTGCTAACATGGCTATGGGAAGTGCTAACATGGCTATGGGAAGTGCTAGACCTATTGATACAGCTCAGTCCAGTGGCGCTGCCTGGAATCCCATAGGTCTTGTCAACATGATGCAGGCTCGCAGGGGGAAGTCTGAGGCAGAGCAGGCAGCAGTACCTGATGTAAAGACTCAAAATCCAAGCATGTTCAAATTTAAAGCAACTACCCCACCTGAAATGAAGGCATGTGGTCAATCATTGTTTCAGCCTATTATATCTGGTACTGCTACAGATTCCGAGACAACACCTCCAGGATTGAGATCCTACATCCTGAAAGACAAACGATCCACTGAAGCTGCTGCAGTGGTCAGCACCCATCTTACTGGACTGACTCCTGTACCCACTGAAGACACTAATCCATTTGAGCAGCATGGCCCTCCCAGTTCCACGAAGGCAACCTCACTGAGGAAGAGATCAACAACTAAGCCAAGAGGTGGGGGAAGAGTATCTCCAGTGACTCATGACCCCATGGAACTCTTCCCTTCTGTCAAAGCGACCAAGATTGAAACAGATGAGGACTGGGAAGATGAGTGTGAAAAATATCCTGAAGAGTTTACATGTAAACAAGATGTTAAGAGACCTGTATATTTTAGACCTATTAACCCTCCAAGAGGCACAGATGAAAACCCAGGATCCCGGAACTTGACTAGAAGCACCACTCCTGACACCTGGGACCAACCCTACAGGTCAAGGCATCTCTCCCAACAACTGCCGACAAACTCGACTAATCAAGGATCCAGAAGCGGATCATTTAGAGGTAGAAGCAGAAATGCTTCTGAGAAACAAGCAAGTGGGGCTTCAACAACAGACTTCCAGACCAAGTCCCAGAGCTCCTCAAGAAGCTGTACCCCAACTGAGGAAATTGGCAAGATGTCCACATCAAGCTCAGTGAGCAGTACACAAGCCTTCAGAGACTTAGGGGAGAGCAGGAAGATGTCCTGTACGGGGCTTGATGAGATCGAGGACTTTGGTGTTAAGAAGGAACGCAAACCAAACAAGCCTGATGCCAACTTTCTGGGGCGACTCTTGAAGAACAATGCCAATGTGAATGAAAGGTTGAAGAAGGAGAAAAAAAGTAAGTAGCCTTTTATTAGCCCTACGAAACCAGAGAAGGGCAGTCGATTAGCCTAGTGGTTAAAGCGTTCACTTGTCACGCAGAAGACCCGGGTTCGATTCCCGACATGGGTACAATGTGTGAAGCCCATTTCTGGTGTCCCCTGCCATGATATTGCTGGAATATTGCTAAAAGTGGCATAAATTAAACTCACTCATTCACTCACTCTAAGACCAGAGTGAGCTCATGGCATTGTATTGTATTTCTCCTAAACAGTTAACTCAATGAAAAGGATAAAATGAAGTGAAAATAGCACATTTCAGTGGGATCAGATGCAACCTTTGTCTTTATTTTACAGAATTGTGACAAGGGCACCCTGAGTTTCATTCCCTTTGAAAAATGTAAAACCATAATGCAAGTCGGTATATTTTAGTTTTTGTGTGTTTCAAATGAAAAAGAAATAAGAAAATGGTACTCCCTTTTCCCTTTTATGATATCTTCTGAACACATTCCTATGATGTTTCAGAGAACAAAGGAGGAAAGAAGCCTTCCAAACCAGAACCAGAACCAGAACTGGAACCTTCCCAGGTTGATGAAGATGACTGGCAGACGGTAAGACAACGGTGGGATGCTGGGGCAGGCCCTGAGTACCCCAGGCCTGTTGTAGGAGCTGGCTAATGGGGCTTGGGTGGTCACAATGTGCACCATGATTATTGAAACAGTCTTGTCCGTGCAGTTTATGGTCTTGTATGTACATTATTAAATATTTTGAGGTCCTACATAAGTCTACATTTGTTGTGATTAATTGTTCGGTTTTTTTCCCTATATTTGAGGATTATCATATCTGTAACACAATTACACACAAATGTCTTGCTCTACTAATTTGTAAACTGCTTTCACGTACTTATTGATTATGCTACAGCGTTAGAAATTGGCACTAGTCCTATAGTCCTTGCCAAACTGCCCAATAGTTAAGGTATCCTAAGGACTACTAGAAATTTGCAATTTTTAAGGGTTTTGCTACATGTTATCATTATAACTTATACATAAGGACTACAGGCTGAATCTGTTAGTTTCTATTGCTGTGCTATCTGCTACAGGTTGGTATGAAGAAAAGAAAGAGAGATCAGACACGAGCGGAGCCAGCAACAAGCACAGCCCTCGTAGCAGCCACATCCAAGGGGGCTTCCAAAGCTCCACGAAACAACTTTGACAAACTTGTGGAGCATCTCGCCAGACATTTTCCATTCTTATCACGGTAGGTAAAACAAGAGAACATTACACAGCCAATAATTTACAGATAAGTATTTGGGCAAGAGGTGCCTTTTGCTTTGCTGTAATGTGTCAAGGTTCTTGGCATTGGCCTGTCAAGTTAGGCGACAAATATTGTGTTTTCTGGTTTACGTATGTTTTTGAGTATTCCCTGATATGCAAGTTGTATCAAACCTGTGTAGAACAGGTCACTTCACACCACTGATTAGCAAATCCCAGTGTCCCATCTCATTTTATCTCTTTTGTTCATTGAATGAGGCAGTAGTAAATTCCCACTACCCTAAGAGTCGTAGGTCTCAAGAGCCAGCTGATATAATCAGTTGATTACCATGTGCACATCCTTGATATCCAGCGTATGATCTCTCAAATCTGTTAGGATTTTAACCTGGACTCCTAGTTACATTAGCTTTTTTAAGACGTAACGGTAAATAGGTTGACAACTTCTATACAGTGTAGTCTCTTTTTTAGGACAATGAATTAAGCAGGGATCATTCTAGGGTGGGGCCTTGTACTTTTAGCCCCTAAATTTGACAAAAGGCCCACATTTTCAAATACAATGGGGCATTTTAACATTGTGCTGTATGGGCAAGTGTGGGTGTATCTATGGAATATTTGAAATTTTCACATAAAGGGCCCAGGTCAGAAAATTCCTAGAGTGAACCCTTATTAAGCTACTGCCTTCTCCCAGTTAGAGGGAAACCAGAGAGTGCTTTGACCAATACACACTAAGTTTAAATGGAATTATACATGTGCCACAGCTTTTTGGCCAGCTACTCTGCATATGACTCCAGGATGTTAGGTTTGTGTTATGCAAGGCCTCATTATCTTTGCTCAGCTTCAGTTAGTTAGGCGTCATCACAACACAGCTTATCAGTCATATGTATTCACGGGAACGTGGTGTAGTCAAACCCATGCAGTATTGATGATGGATGATATTTCCTCATGGTGTTTTGATGACCTAAAACAACATGCACTGGCTCAGATTGATTTGTGTTATGTGTCATGTTTATGTTTCAGGGGAGAAGTGATTGAGCTGGTAACCTCTGTACGATCACAGAGAGGGGGCTTGACTGGGATGAAGTTGAATGACATCGTTGATGTAGCCAGAGGAATTGTTCAGAAGAAAATGATGGCCAAGCTTGTACCTGAACATGTACCAAAGGTTTGTTTGTATTCTGATCAAAATTAAAACAGATATGGACATGTCTCACTTCTTCTTCAGACAGATTGTTGTGGAAGCTAGTAATATTTTTTACATGAACAATAATTGAATATAGAGCAGAATGGTTTTAAAAGGGACTGGTCATTAATTTAAAAGGGACTATCAGCAAAACATGATACAGTTATGTGAGGTGAGGTGAAATGGGGTTTAATGTCGCGTCCAAGATTATTGCACTTATATAGCAACGTGAATGTATGTGTGTGTGTGTGGCTGCTTGTACTAGTCCGGACTGATGCTGATTTATAGTGCTAGCACACTGAGATACCATGCCACAGTTTAACATGAATACCCCTCTCAGACACAGTATACTGACTCCGAGCCGACCAGTCCTTGCTTTAGCCCCTTAATGCTGAGCGCCAGACAGGGTAACAACAAGTACCATCTTTTAACGTCTTTTGGTAGGACGCGGCCGGGGATCGAACCTCAGACCTTATGCTCTCAGGGCGGACACTCTACCACTAGACCACAAGGACTGGTCAGCTCGGAGTCAGCATACTGTGTCTGAGAGGGGTATTCATGTTAAACCGCGGCATGGTATCTCAGTGAGCTAGCACTATAAATTGGCATCATTGGTTGATCTGTTGTAGGTAGCAGCAGCAGCACAGAAAGGCGGCAACATCTACAGCACTCCTGAGTTTCAGAAGTATTACGAGACAACCAGGAAAGATCTACCCCACAGGCCGGCCATCACTTCCCCAGGGGTAAGACAAGAACAAGGTTCACTACTCCCGTGTTTGTCCTGTTACATGTACAGTGGTATCTGTCTATACTGGACTTGGGTGGGACCAAATCTTCTTCTAGCAAGAGTTATGTCCTATTTGATCAAAGAAACATAACTTAATAAGACATACATTTATTAATAAATATCTTCCTTGGCAACAGTCTTCATTTTTTTATGACAGCAGCTTACAAGACATGCCAGTGAGATGTGTGATAGATTAGGGAGCCTGAATAAGATAATATGGTGATATGTTATTATTTTCTCCATAGAAGGAAGTCCCAATTAGGCAGATTTCACTTCATTATAAATTAACGTAGCAATCAAGTTGTAACATGGTAATATTAAGGACAGCAAATTAGGTCCAATATTGACAGATCCAGATTTGTCAGAATCCGGTTTAGACAGATTCTACTGCAGGTGCAAAAGACAAGAAAGAAAAAGTGGTTCATGAAGATCCCATGAAAATACGTCAGGACACTTACGCCAGTAATTGTTTTGTATTTTATACCCAATTACAGTGATAACCTAGTTTTGAAATCTTGTTATGTTTTGTAGGTATACTCAGGGGTGAGAATCTTCCACGGATCTGAAAATTTTAGTTACCACATCAACACCCCCAAATTATGGACCACGCTCAATTTGAAAGAAGTTTCAGCTGAAAAGGAAAACATCCATTCTCATCCCTGTATAATTTTGTCCTTTATGACAAGTTTAAGACACAATTATGCTATGCTTATCAATTCCATTGAGTTACATCAATGATGTTTTATGTCCAACAAGAATTTGTTGATATGTATTTGAACTGTCAAGGCAACAAATGATATTTTCTATCAATTTCAGAATTCAGTGAATGATGAAGATGTCTGTCCAATATGTTTTGAGGATTTTTCTGTTGCCAAGAAGCAGAGATTGGACTGTGGGCATGATTTCCATACGAAGGTAAGTAAGTTAGGGCCTGGTCATGTATGGTGTGGGCTAGGGCTGGCTAACAAGATCCATAATCAGAATTATTGTGGATGGGAAGAAAGATTAACCATTATCGATATGAAAATTGTGTTATCGATAATATCTGACGTAAACTATTGTGATGAAATAAAGTTTAAATTTACTGTAAAAGACTTGATATAGTCAATCATGTCAGTTGCTGAACACTAAAAGCAACTGTTTTTGTTAAATCTTAAATTTCAACAAAGTTATTAATGCATAAATGTGTCACCACTCACCAGCTTACAACTTCCATCCAGCTTCCCACTCACCACCCAGCAACACAACAACCCACATCCACACCAAGACCCACATCCACACATCCACCCAGACCCACACACACACACACACACCCAGACCAACATCCACACACCCACACACCCACACATACCAAGACCCACATCCACACACCTAGACCCACCCCCCCACCCCCCGACACACACACCAAGACACACACACACACACACACACACACACACACCAAGACACACTCACACACACACCCAGACCCCCACACACACCAAGACCCACATACACACCCAGACCCCCCCCCCACACACAGACCCACACACACACCCAGACCCCCCCCACACACACAGACCCACACACACACCCAGACCCACACCCAGACCTACACACACACCCAGACCCCCCCCCCCCCCACACACACACACACACCCAGACCAACATCCACACTCACCACCCAGCCACACACACACACCCAGACCCACATCCACACTCACCTCCCAGCCACACACACACCCAGACCCACATCCACACTCAACACCCAGGCCCACATCCACACTCACCACCCAGCCACACACACCCACCCAGACCCACATCCGTACTCTACACCCAGCCACACACACACACCCAGACCCACATCCACACTCAACACCCAGGCCCACATCCACACTCACCACCCAGCCACACACACCCACCCAGACCCACATCCGTACTCTACACCCAGCCACACACACACACCAAGACCCACATCCACACTCAACACCCAGACCCACATCCACACTCACCTCCCAGCCACACACACACAGACCCACATCCACACTCACCTCCCAGCCACACACACACACCCAGACCCACATCCACACTCAACACCCAGGCCCACATCCACACTCACCACCCAGCCACACACACACACCCAGACCCACATCCACACTCACCTCCCAGCCACACACACACACCCAGACCCACATCCACACTCAACACCCAGGCCCACATCCACACTCACCACCCAGCCACACACACCCACCCAGACCCACATCCGTACTCTACACCCAGCCACACACACACACCCAGACCCACATCCACACTCAACACCCAGGCCCACATCCACACTCACCACCCAGCCACACACACCCACCCAGACCCACATCCGTACTCTACACCCAGCCACACACACACACCAAGACCCACATCCACACTCAACACCCAGGCCCACATCCACACTCATCACCCAGCCATACACACCCACCCAGACCCACATCCACACTCAACACCCAGGCCCACATCCACACACCCACCCAGACCCACATCCACACTCAACACCCAGGCCCACATCCACACTCACCACCCAGCCACACACACCCACCCAGACCCACATCCATACTCTACACCCAGCCACACACACACACCCAGACCCACATCCACACTCAACACCCAGGCCCACATCCACACTCATCACCCAGCCATACACACACACCCAGACCCACATCCACACTCACTACCCAGCCACACACACACACCCAGACCCACATCCACACTCAACACCAAGCCACACACACACACACACACACACACACACACACACACACACACACCTGCCAGCCACACACCCAACCAGACCCACATCCACACTCACCACCCAGTCACACACACCCTCACAGACCCACATCTACACTCAACACACAGCCATGCCAACACCCACACGTCCATCCAGCCTCCCACTCACCGTGTGGGCTTGCATGTTGCAGTGTATCCGAGAGTGGGTGCTGGGCCATGAAAGAACATGTCCCACCTGCAGGAGATACACATTGTTTCAAGAGGAGTTCCCAAGGCTGAAATAACGTAGCAGAAAGACAGTGTCTGCCTCATCCTCACAGTGAACAAGTCATCATCAAGCAGCTACCACAGACATGCCAACAATGTCAGCTTGGGATCATTAGGCATAATACTCTAGTCACCATCATGTAAAAAAATGTAATATTTTGTTTCATGACATGGAGAATATTCACGGGTGGCCTTAGCTCGGTTGGTTCTCTGATCCATGATAGGATCTGCTGGTCACAAGTTTGAATCCCAGATTCACCACTAATATCATCATTGAATTGTCAGCCCTCCCCATGCTCTTGGGTTCCCAAAAGTGGTTAATCTACACCTTACATCATAGCTTATTGAAGAATTTTTAGTGCTACTTAATGCTTTGTCAGTAAAACTGAAGCTGATCGCTTGCTGCTGTGATTATTTCCTTCTGAAAAATACATCTCCCATAACAGCATCCCTTGTGTTACACTGTCTACAGGTAAAAATCATGTACATCTTTAATGACCAGTTCTTAAACATCTTTTTTAGTCTAGGGGCCATGTTTCCTAGATGATTTGGGGCGGTCGGGTAGCCTAGTGGTTAAAGCGTTCGCTTGTCACGCAGAAGACCTGGGTTCGATTCTCGACATGGGTACAATGTGTGAAGCCCATTTCTGGTGTCCCCCGCCGTGATATTGCTGGAGTATTGCTAAAAGCGGCGTAAAACCATACTCACTCACTCCTAGATGATTTACCATTGTTTATAGCTTAAATCATTGCCTGTACTCTTTAGATTTGATATGAAACTGAAAATTTGATAGCGGGTCATCACCCCTATTTACATCGTCACCTACATAGTCACCATCTGTTTTCAGCCCCTTATGACCTATTCACTGATGTGTTAACTAATATAATTTTTTTCCATTTATTAAAAAAAGCACTGTGCAGTAAATACATGAAGTATGGTATCTGTTTGTCGCGCTGACAATGGATGCAGATGTAAAGGACCATTCTTTATGATATGATTTTGGGCTTGGAATCATTGTAGATCTGTGTAGATACTTGTGTATATATGTTAAGAAGGCATCTATTGACTGTTTTGTTACATGCTTTGTTAACACTTTAGGCACTGGAATTAACTGTGCAGAGTAGTGTCCCTTAGCCATGACAGGATCTGCTGGTCATAGGTTCAAATCCCAGATTTCCCTTATAATGATTCTTGGTCTGTCAGCACCTTCCTGTGCTTGTGTAGTGATTAACATTCCAGGGCCTTGTTAACATTCCAGGGCCTTGTTCACACTCCATGGCCTTGTTCACACTCCACGACCTTGTTCACATTTCAGGGCCTTGTTCACATTCCAGGGCCTTGTTCACACTCCACGGCCTTGTTCACACTCCACGGCCTTGTTCACATTTCAGGGCCTTGTTCACACTCCAGGGCCTTGTTCACACTCCACGGCCTTGTTCACATTTCAGGGCCTTGTTCACACTCCACGGCCTTGTTCACATTTCAGGGCCTTGTTCACACTCCATGGCCTTGTTCACATTTCAGGGCCTTGTTCACACTCCACGGCCTTGCTCACATTCCACGGCCTTGTTCACACTCCACGGCCTTGTTCACACTCCACGGCCTTGTTCACATTTCAGGGCCTTGTTCACACTCCACGGCCTTGTTCACATTTCAGGGCCTTGTTCACACTCCACAGCCTTGTTCACATTTCAGGGCCTTGTTCACGCTCCACGGCCTTGTTCACATTTCAGGGCCTTGTTCACACTCCACGGCCTTTTTCACATTTCAAGGCCTTGTTCACACTCCATGGCCTTGTTCACATTTCAGGGCCTTGTTCACACTCCATGGCCTTGTTCACATTTCAGGGCCTTGTTCACACTCCACGGCCTTGTTCACACTCCACGGCCTTGTTCACATTCAGGGCCTTGTTCACATTTAAGGCCTTGTTCACACTCCACGGCCTTGCTCACACTCCACGGCCTTGTTCACACTCCACGGCCCTGTTCACACTCCACGGCCTTGCTCACACTCCACGGCATTGTTCACATTTAAGGCTTTTCACTGCAACCATCACAAGTGTTATGTTATATTCTTAGAGTGTGGGATTACTGATAGCCATATTGCAGGGATGACTTTCTGGACCAAGCCAACTTAACAACTCAACTCAACTATTTTGTGTCACTTTTCATGTTACATATGCCACTGAATGTTGCAGCCAAATTTGTGTTGCCAAAAGAGTCAGAAAAGTACAAATTTGTACTACCTTAGAACCTCATTTGCATTGCCCCCAGTTGGGAGAAACTTTGTTTGTTATTCAGGGCTGTGCATAGCACGGAGATCTGAGTAAGTGTATGTTATGATAATCATGATGCTACAATCACTTTGCGTAACAAAGCTGATGTGAGCCTCCAAACAGTGTTAGTGCTATACCTAGAAATTCTTGTATATATGGTGATAAAATATTGGAGTTGCCTCATCAGTAACGCTATCTTTGCTTATTGAAATAGGGCAGAGTTGAGCCTTTTAGCCATCTTGGTAGAGAAGGAAGGGGGTCTTGTGTTGCACAGCCGTCTAAGGCTTTGCAAGTTGTGTCTCTTAGTCATGCTATGATCTGTTGATCATAGTCGTGTGAGGCGACACGGAATCGGGTGGTCAGGTTCACTGACTTGATTGATGCATGTCATCAAATCCGAATTGCGTGGATCGATGTTCATGTCAATCACTGGATTGTCTGGTTCACTTGATTATTTACAGACCACCGTCATATAGCTGGAATGTTGCTGAGTGTGGCAGTAAACGACAAACAAAGCCATTTTGGTGGAGAAGGAAGGGGGTCTTGTGTTGCACAACCATCTAAGACTTTGCAAGTTATGTCCCTTGGTCATGCTAGGATCCGATGGTCATGGGTTCATGTCAGATTCACCCAGATTATCATCCTTGGTTTGTCACCAACACACCCTTTCTCATGAGTTTTACAATATGGTGAAAACCTGAGTGCCTTGGGGATTTCCTCACATTAAGCTGATAGGACATGATAGTACAGAAATGCTGTCCTAAGCCCTGTTAGTCCATCACAGACTCACTTAGTAATTGGTGGATCAAAAGCAGTAGCTCTATGATAGCTTTTACAATATGGTGAAAACCTGAGTGACTTGGGGATTTCCTCACATTAAGCTGATAGGACATGATAGTACAGAAATGCTGTCCTAAGCCCTGTTAGTCCATCACAGACTCACTTAGTAATTGGTGGATCAAAAGCAGTAGCTCTATGATAGCTTTTACAATATGGTGAAAACCTGAGTGACTTGTGGATTTCCTCACATTAAGCTGATAGGACATGATAGTACAGAAATGCTGTCCTAAGCCCTGTTAGTCCATCACAGACTCACTTGGTAATTTGTGGATCAAAAGCAGTAGTTCTATGATAGCTTTATGAAATCCAGCACAGCTCCCATTCAACAAAGCAATCTCAGACAATGACCCTCAGCCTTTGTTGGAGTTATGTTGGATGTTTATCATTTTGTGGAAAGGGGCACTGGTCGTTTGATTGAAAGAATAAGAATGTGTCAAAATTGCAACAATTACTCTTTGTTTTGGTATTCATATTTGCAAGTATATGAAGTTTGTATGGCTGCATTGTGCTCTGTTTGTTAGTATAACAAGGATATAGTAACCATGGAATACTTTTGTCAGGATCTTTTTTTCCTGAAACCTGAATCTTTCTTTATTTTACATGAAAATATGTTCTTTTTGACATTATGCAAGTCACAATACTCCTCAAATGTTTTCTGTGTATCTTACAATTACCGGTACACTTATAGAAGGATACTCTGAATGATCAATACCTGGTCCTAATGGAAATGTTGACATTTAGTGTAATGTTTTATTGGAATAAAGACAATCAGGCATGTCAATTCCGTTTTCATCCAGTTTGGCCGAATAAGTTTGAATTTGCATGAAACTGGTCTTGTGTTAATATCAGATTACATTGAAGAAGAATAGTGTATGTCCTTTCCTGTTTCACCTGAACTTAATTAGTCAACTCAGGTATGCTTGTGATTGATTTCTGTCTTACTTTTCTTGTCATAAAATGCATCCTAAGTTTGCTGTGTTTGCATGAAGAATGTTTTGATGACCATGTTTATTTGTGCTTTGATAGTTTGTCATGACATGGATTGTGTTGAAACCTTTGTATACTTGTAGCTAACGATATTGTTCAGTATTGCTTTCTTTTCACAAGAACTGGTCAGTACAGCCTTTCAGTTAATTTGTTGGCTTGTCACACCAATGGTCTCATTTCCCGAGGTGTGTAAATGAGGCAAGACTCTTGGCATCACCAGAAACCATAATTGTGGGTTCCAATCCTGGTTCACCTTATGTTTCCAAGTTTGACAGCACCATACCCATGCTTGTGGGTTGCACAAAAATGGAAAATATCTAAAACCTCCAGCCCTTAAGGCTTTCCTCCCACATTAAGCTGACACGCCTTGATATAACTGGAATACTGTTCAAAGCGGCAATAAACCCAACTCAATCACTCTCACGAACAGAATCTGTTTATTGGACATTTTAGATTGATGAAAAAAATCATCTAATTACTATCGAAACATCAACAGTTGGTTTGGGTCATCAAGATCCATTTGCACCACTGGATAAGGCAGACCATGAAACGCTTCAATGATGCTATACTGAAACTGTGACTTCCAAATGGTTATGGGACGGTCGGGTAGCCTAGTGGTTAAAGCATTTGCTCTTCACACCGAAGACCCCGGTTCGATTCTCGACATGGGTACAATGTGTAAAGCCCATTTCTGGTGTCCCCCGCAGTGATATTGCTGGAATATTGCTAAAAGCATCGTAAAACCATATTCACTCACTCCAAATGGTGACTGTTGGATATTTCGAATATATTGCGTTTATCATTTGTTAATTTGAAATTTATTATGTGGAGAATCTTACTTGAATCTGTAATATATGGATTGACAGGGTTTCATTTAGAAGTATCACTATCCATAACAATATCCTTATAAATACATTTAATATTTCTTTCATGATAAGGTGAAAGATCACAGTTTTTGAAATCCAAAAGCAGTCGCTATGCAGATAGTATATGTTTTCTGTTAAAGGTCATGCAGATAGTATATGTTTTCTGTTAAAGGTCACTGAAGCAGCCGAGTGGTTGGATGATAGTTCCTCACGCCTGAGACCATGTTTATCTCCCTATGCAAGTCTAGTCATGTGATCTTTTCATGTGCAGGGTTTTCAATGCTGCTACAAGCAGCTTGACTAAATGACATGTATTAGAGCTTAATCAGTATTAGGATGGGAGTTGTCATTTTCAACTAACCTGTTCATAAAACCATGTTGATAAAACCCAATCAGTATTTTGTTGATTTTACTGTAGCTCGTCTTAATAGAGGTCTGGACGGTTCAATATTTTGTTAATAGATGAATGACAGGTTTCTGTGCCAGTATATTATGTTATCACTTTGTGTTCAGTCATGTGGAGTGTATATACATTTTGAACCTCATTACATCATTTTTATTCATATTATTTGAATTGATAAAGTATTTTGTACTTACCTGTTAGTTTGTTAGTTTCTTCTCATCACCACCTGTGGGTTGCCAGGGCAGAAATGTTGTCATAAAATTAGGATCAGGTGTCATCTGGGGCATGTAAAGATTCGTGTTGCCGTCAGAGGCGCTTACTGGGATTGGGTGGTCAGGCTCGCTGACTTGGTTGATACATGTCATCATATCCCAACTGTTTAGAGCGATATCAATCACTGGCTTGTCTGGTCCAGATTTGATTTTTTACAAACCGCCAGTGACCGCCTCCGTGGTCTTGTGGTAGATTGTCCGCCCGGAGAGCGGAAGGTCCGGGGTTCGATCCCCAGCCGCGCCATACCAAAAGACGTTAAAAGATGGTACCTGTTGTTACCCTGTCTGGCGCTCGGCATTAAGGGGCAAAAACAAGGACTGGTCGGCTCGGAGTCAGTATACTGTGTCTGAGTGGGGTATTCATGTTAAAACTGCGGCATGGTACTCAGTGTGCTAGCACTATAAATCGGCATCAGTCCGGAATAGTACAAGCAACCACACACACACACATACATGTGCATGCACGTCGCTATATAAGTGCAATAATCTTGGATGCGACGTTAAACCCCATTTCACCTCACCTCACCACAAACTGCCAGCATAAAGCTGGAATGTTGCTGAGTGGGGTGTTAAACAAACATAACTTCCAGACCTCCCTGACATACATGGAATATTGTTGACTGTGGACACTATTCTCCCAATGAGGTCGGATATCATAAATCTCAAAAAGAGCTGTGTAAAGAGGACTGGGTGGTCAGGCTTGGTGACTTCACAGATTGCATGTGATGGAGCCCCAGCCTCATGGTTTGTTGCTCAGGCTATCAGTCACTGGTTTATTCGGTCCAGATAGGCTGCCATGTTATGGCCAGAAAATTGCTGGCTGTGGCTTTAAATAGCAATAATCACTCACTCCAATACTGTCAACCACTGGCTTGTATGGTCCAGGCATTGCAGCTAACAATTCTTACTAAAATATTCTATCATTCTGTAAAATGCACTGTGTCTTCAATATCTTGACGACTGTGGGAAGACATCAGCCCTGATTTTCTTGAAGTTCAGGGTGTATAAATATGTATCTGTTGCAACTCCCTGGTGACAATTTGACACAAGCATGGGTCAGTGTGAGTGCTGGGACAGGTCTAAATTTACTACCCGGGTACCTGACCCCCTATTACCTGTCCCTACCCGGTTACCCGCTGTAGGTCTCAAGTTCTACTGGAGTCCTGGCAAACGCTGCTAAGGTATATGCATAAAATGATGTGATCATGCATACACTGAAGTTGACAAACGCTTTATCTTTACTCAAACATAAAAGTCAGAACGAATGAATGCGAAGTCAGAAAGAAATGGAAACATCGCAACTTGTGTAACCGTGGAGTTTGACTGTTATCATCATTAAACAACATATCACGTGGGTCATCACAGGTCTCAGTAGTCCTGTGGGCACCCAGGTCATACTCAGGACCCACCTGACCTGAGTACCCCAGTTCCCCATCCCAGCCCTAGTCAGTGTACACTTTCAGCACATGGTGTGATCCCCAGACTTAACAATATGCTGCAGAATATAAATAAATTTTAAAATATATTTATTTCAACAGTGTCAGAAAGGAGTCAGAAATCACTAACTGTATCAGCGACAGTAATGCGTGTTCACGCTTTCAACCACTGGTTTGCCTGATCCAGAATTCCGTCTCTTGATCTTGACCCAAAGGCTATTGCAAATTCTAGAGTATTGGAGGCTCACTTAAAGGAACAGGACACTGGTCAAGAGTTTGCTGGTGTTCTAAAAAATAATGCACCACTGGGGGCACCACCCCTAGGTATTCCAGGTTAGAATTGACTTGGGGACTTCAAAGGGACTTAATAGATGGAATGGTCAGACACAGTGACTTGGTTTACATATAGTGTGTCTACGTATCTCAAAGGCATGGGTCGTTGCTCATGATATCAATCACTGCTTGTCTATTCCAGACTCGTTCACAGGTCCCAATCATTTAACTAGAATATTGCTGAATGCTGTTAAAAAAACAAATCAACAGTGTCAATGGATTGCGCAGTCGTATTGGGCCCAAATCGGTTTTCACAGTTGTGCATAGCTCAATCCGTCAGTTTTAAAGAAGGGGTCAAAAATGCAAAACTTTATGGATTCCACGACAGACCACCTCTCAACCGAAAAGCGCTGAAGCAAGGGCCAGTACAAACCTATACTTTCGTGAAACATAATATAAAATAATATCGCGTTGGGAGACAATCAGATAGGTCTTTGAACATATTTAATGAAACTTATTGGGACTGCTAAATCGATCGAACCCAGTGCCTTTGTATTAAAAGCAATCCGGTGGATTTGCGGGTAGAAATCTTTGTTCAGGAAAAAAATGCGCAAACTACTCTTTCGCTCAGTGAGCTTGCAGACCATCCTCGGTTATTTATCAGTGAACCCAGCTGAGGATGTGGAACCAGTAGTGACTGATGTGGCCCTTGCTCCACCAGTTCATTATGAAGCACCCAGGGAGCGGGGACTTGCGGGGGTCTGTAGTTTTGGGGACCGGGTAGGTACCGTTCCACGGTATGAGGCAGGGCAGCGGCTCAGCGTCGGCGATGACGGTGGAGTAGAAGGTCACGTTTACCTGCTGTAGAAACGTTGCGGCTTAGAGGGAGTGAGCGGTTTTGAAAGCAGGTAATGAGGTGAATTGCGGTCAAATGGCGAGTTCAAGGTTATTGCACCTATATACCGACGTGCACGTGCATGCGCGTGCGTGCATGTGTGCGTGAGTGTACTGAGTGAACACACGTGTACCTGGTAGGTTTGGTAGGTGAAATGGGGTTTAACTTAAACTCAAGATTATTACACGTACGTAAACTCCGAGAATCAGGCAGGGTAACAACAAGTACCATCTTTTTGTAGGAAGCGGCTGGTGATCGAAGCACTAACAACAGACCTTCACTCACTGGATCGTTTGGTCCAGACTTGATTATTTACAGACCGCCGTCATATGGAATATTGCTGAGTGCGGGGTTAAACAACAAACAAACAAACAAATCCGCTCTCCGGGCAGAGGCTGTAGACCATCATCAAAGCACTGCTTATGGCCATAAATGCTCATAAGCTTAGAGCTAAATATTGTATTGATTTGTGACCATTTGCGAGAAAGAAAGACCGACAAAATACGTCAACATTGAAATATTGGCATCCGCTTACCAGAATAAGCATTTAATGGCACCCAGCGTGCAATACTGGCCTCCGGATTATCACTCAGTAATACCCCGCGTACCAAACGGTGGTTAGGACCCTCGACAGTGTCTGCCATCGTTCCCTGCCGACGTTGATCGTTGCTCATGACCTCAACCACAGGGTGGCCTGGTCCGGACTCGAATGTCTACAGTCTACCTTGACGTAGCTGGAATATTGCACGCTGTGGCGCAAAATAACACACTCTCGCTCCTGTAACACATATTGTTTGGGGTTGTATCGCTCATTTGCTGTTCCTTTATTTGTTTGTTTATTTGCTTGTTTGCTAGAAGGTTGTGAATTCTACATATGGGTAAACCCCGAACGCTACTCTCAAATCTGATTGGCCCCGGCGAGGTTCACTTATTTTGCTATAAAATCTTGAAAACTTATTTTGCTATAAGTACCTTTGTTCACGTATACTGAACCGGAAAAGAAACGTCACTTCATGAAAATAATTCATGAAAGTTTATGCAGTCATTATAAACCTTATTTCTCTGATTCTTCGTTAGTCTTGGCGTGGTGCTAGTATCAATAGGAGAATGTTAGATCCACGTATTGGGGTGCCGTTTATCAGAAAAGGCACAAGGAAACGCAAGTGAATTTTGATTTTTGTGGAATTCATTCGGGACTTTGTACCGTGGACGTTTGTTAAGATGCGTTTGGCGAACCATTATATCCATAAATCGTGTCACGTTTCGGCTGTTAACGTTATATATACAGACTAATGGCAAAAAATGAGACCCCCCCCCCAAAAAAAATAAATAAATAAAATGCATTGATATTTCATGAATTATTTTCATAAAGGGACGTTTCTTCTGCGGTTCAGTATATTTTGCTGTAAGAACTCGTGTTCACATATTTTACTGTAAGTAGTCGTGTTCACTTAGTGGTAAATAGTATTATAGTTTATACCTTTATTTGTCCTTTGAATCCTTTGATGCTGAACAAAAGGGACATGACGTCACAACTGCCCACAGACACGGCCTTTGATTGGCTGTAGTTGGCCGCGGGAACAAGTATCGGTGTTTCAACTGATGCGACACATTCGCTGAAAGGTCAATAACATAAATACATCACGATCGTTTCTACGTCTGTCGTCATAGCGGTGGGTTATTTTTTAGCCCAGCATGCAGAACCTCTTAAAAAAGTAAAAGCATGACAAGTTCAATCTTTTCTGTGGAAATATGAGTGAGTTGGGTTAAAGTCGCTTTGAAAACGAGTTTAGTGATATCGTGTTGGTTTGATATTGGTGGAAAGGGAAGCTAAAAAAATGTTACTCGCAAACGTGTACCTTTTAGCCAAACCCACGAATTAAGCTAGTAATTCTGAGATTCAAACCACGACCAGAGGATTTGGCAATGGTAAGGGACGCAACTCTGCACGGATAATTGCCTGAGGTGACTTTGCCACCCGTGTTCCCGCATGCGTGAAAGATGGAATTGAGTTTATGCGCCATTTTGGCTGTATTCCAACCACAACCCCAAAAATGGGATTCACAGATTGTGGGAATTCGTTCGTTCGTTTGTTGTTTAACGCAGCATTCCAGTTATATGACTGCGGTCTATAAATAATCGAGTCTGGACCAGGCAATCCAGTGATTGACATCATGAGCATCGATCCACGCAATTGGAATCGATGACATGCATCAACCAAGTCAGCGAGCCTGACCACCCGATTCCGTCAGTCGCCTTTTACGACAAGCATAGTCGCCTTTTATCGCAAGCATGGGTTGCTGAAGACCTACTCTACCCAGGATCTCCACGGGTCTTGTGGGAACTGACACTCGTTAAACACAAACAGTAATAACTGGTAGTAACGTGACCCTGCGTGAATAATCGTCGAGTATTGATGTGTTTACCTGCCATTTCGTGAATCATTCACAGATATCAGAAACCGTATTCCAAACGTCACATCCAGCGACGTGTACAGGTCCTCCAGGTCGTCGCTCCAGACAGCGCCCCCTAGTGTCAGTACCGCCAGTATCAACGCCACCTCCATGCAGCGCGCGTTTGGTGACTTTCACCGTACTCTGTCCGACTATCTGGTTAAAGAAGTGCGATAAGATAAGTTTCTGTTGTAGGTAGTCTACAAAGTCTTCTTGTCGAAATCTATGTATGTACGTAAGTAATACTTTAGTACAGTCACGCCTTCCAAATTGAATATTCATAAGCCTTTTGTTATGCTAATAGACATGCATGACGTCATAAAGAGGGCGGGACCATAGGTTCGATGACCGCATTCAACAAATCGAGCCTCAGCCGCTGATGGCTAAGTCGGGTGGAGGTAGGCTAGGGGTCTCTTGGTGTTTTTTTTGCAATGAAGCAATTAGTCCTTCGACTCTCGACAAAGCAGAACAAGGCATAGTAATGAGTTTCCATATAAGAAGTGATTAGTACGACACGGAAGTCGAACAAAGTCGGGGTGGCGTTCTTTGTCGATGTCCATTGATGACATTTTCTACATAGGAAGCAAAGCTGTCTGCTAAGCAAACAGACTTGTCCCCAGTCAGGACAATGAGCAAACGTTATGTCAACACCCTTACTGCCTTAATATGTTGGTTAAGTTTAATGCGGACCCATTCAGTTACAGTGACAATAAATATTCTTGTCTGTATTTTAGGACGAGAAAGATAGGTTTGACGACAATAAGTACTATTTTTCATGAAAAACCTTCGTTGGTATTTTATTGGTTTCAGAATATTATTCACAATGTGAATATTTTTGGTTCGAAATTATCTGTGTTGCACATTATTTCACACTTATAAATCACGATTAACCAGTACCAACAATCATATCCACGTGAAAAAATGAAATAGCCTTGTTTGAAGACATATTTTTTTGTAAGATAGATAATGTACCTTCCGACGTTTATTTTCGACAAACAAAAAGACACCAAACAAAGAAACAAAAACTTTTCGAGCAAGTTAAAACTGTATTTTCAGTTTTATTATGTGCCCCATATAGAACAATCTCACGAGAAACCATCTTGAAATGTTACACGAATGTCCAAAAGGCATGCTCACCAGAACTGTTTATAAATCCAAGAGGTGGTACTATATTGACAGTCCTCAGTTTATAACTCATAACCCCGCTGTGATATACCGTAACCTATATATTAAAAACTATATTGCCCTTGCCGCGACCTATGGAACGAGTCGTTAAAGTTGCAGTGCCCTGTTCAGAGACGTCACCATCTACTCAGCCTTAAGAATGAAAATTGTTTGAACACATGTGTACCTGACTTCGGCGGGCTAATGGGGAGAAAAGTGGCCTACATTTCGTGTCCACATACACTGCTGCTTTGAGAGATCGTTGGCCATGCTTGGGAACCTAGTGTAAGAAGTTGTATCATATGGAAATGTGAGTTCACTGTGGATAGCAAAAGCATCTTGCACACATAAAAAAACACTGTTATCTTCGATTTTAGGTGTTTAAGATTGAAACTAGTACTTTTAAACATCGCTGAGACTGGATTTTGAAAAAAAAAAAACTTGAGTTTTATTGAGATAAATCGTTGTTTTTACGGTGCAAAAATTCAAAATAATGCTAAACAGGTGACATTTCATTTAAAACAATACTGTCCATCTCCTGTCATGGAAATAATTATTATATCGGTGTTCTTAGGTAGAAAAGTATTAATGACAGACTATGAAACATGGAAAACGCATATACATATATTCAAGCCATTTTCAGAGGAAGAAGCTGTGAGATGAAGACACCTTAAGATAGACATGGGTAGAAGGTCCAGCTCTCTGTCATTGGATATATTTGTACCTAGTGTATGTCCAAAACCAAAACGACAAGCAAATGAAAAATATATATAGAACATAATTACTATGAAAAAGACCAAAGAAAGAAAGATGAAGTTAAAGTAAAATCCATGATCAAGGGTGAGATGACAAGACGGGATAGAAGTGCGTATATGGCATCATGGAGAAGAAGGTACAATGTTCTGCGTTCAGACTCAAGCAACCTGTTCATCCGCCACTACCAGCACAGATAAGGCCATGAGAAGCCATGCCACCAGCACCACCTTAACGAGCAGACACGTCTAACTGAGATCCAGTGTTGGACAGGTCACCATGGAGTCAACATCTAGTCCAGACTGTAGAAAACACTTTCCAGATGTGATTATATGCAGAGACACAGAAGACGGATGCATCAGGGCCTTCCACCTCCTCCTCCTCCTCCTCCTCCTCCTCCTCATCATCATCATCATCATCATCATCATCTTCATCATCACGCCTCTCGTCACGGTCATACAAACGAAAGCTTCATTAGTGATAATTTTGATGACATTTAGAACGACCCTTCTGAGGTTCCCCATGATGGTTATAGGATATGTATCGAGAGGACATGACACTTCAAAGGAAAAAATACCGAGAGCAAGGAAAGTCAGAGGAGTGGATTGATAGAAAACCGAAAAGAACATGGGAAGACATTTTTGTCAATTTATTGAATTGTATCCCTACACGTACTAGCTATTTCTCAGAGGAACCATTGTTTCGTTCTATACTAGATATATTGAGTGAGTGAGTGAGTTGGGTTTAACGCCGTTTCTAACAGTATTCCAGTTATATCACCTTTACAGCTTAATGTAGGCTGTCCGCAATGAACATCTTCTCTGCTGTGTCCCAATCTCCACATGTCACAGGTTTGCAATATTTGTATTATTATTCAACACAATTAAACACCTTGCCATCTATACAGATAAACTGACGGCCAAAAGAAACGTTACCAACGATATTTCTAGGATAAATTATGACCAACACAATTTGAAGCAGCAAAACAATTGTATTGTAGAAATTCATCATTCAGAACAGTAAAATGCGAATTTACTAATTCAACAACAACGTCCTTGACCTCTAACAGGGACATTTCTTGACAAGGGGTCATTCGTCCAGTATTCGATCAACAACATTGGTTACAACTTTAAGTTGACGACGGCCCAGACCGTTCAATACGGGATATGACCTTCATATCATTGAGCGGCAATGCATCTTCGAATGCGGCGTCGAACTGAGTAGACAAGCGTCCCCACATCGACTGCAGGTATCCGATTCCATTCCTCACGGAGGGCAACGATCAACGCTTGTCTCGTGAAGGGAGGATGTTGACGTTTCCGAAGACGACGCCCTAGCTGGCCCCAGAGATGTTCTAGGGGTGACAGATCTGGTGATCGAGCTGGCCACGGCAGGACAGTCACGTTGTTGGCGTTGAGGAAGTCTCTAGTAATACGGGCTTTATGGGGTGGGGCGTTATCTTGTTGGAACACCGTCCGTTGTTGACGCTGGATGAAAGGAAGAACCACTGGCCGTAAGATATTGTCAATGTAGCGTTGTGCTGTCAGATTGCCTTCGATGCTGACATGTTGCGTCTTCACGTCCCCGCAAATGCCGCCCCAGACAATCACACGTCCGCCCCTGTAAGGTTCCACCTCCTGGACACAACAAGGAGCCTTACGTTCACCACGTCGTCGATAAACTCAGTCCGCCCATCAGGTTTGAGGAGTTGGAACCTGCTCTCGTCACTAAACAGCACTCGCCGCCATTCCCTTTGTTGCTATCGCTGAGTTTGCCTGCACCACGTCAATCTGGCACGTCGATGTTGACGGGTCAAGGTCATGCCCTTGAAAGGGCGATAAGCCCGGAGACCATAATGTCGTAGTCGTCTGGTCACTGTTTGTCTGCTGACCGGATGTCCTAAGCTGTTGGCAGCTGATGACGTCACAGTAAGAAATCTGTTCCTCAGATGAAGTACCCGTAAAAAGCGGTCATCCTGCGGGGTCGTGACCTTTGGTCTGCCACTCAGTGGTCGGTCTGCGGTTCTGCCAGTCTGTCGGAGACGTGCGACCAGTCTGGTAATGGTCATCTTGGAGCAGTTCGTGTTATGGCAACCCCTCTCTGTGTCGCTCCCATCTGCAGCATACCTATGGTTCTCTCCCTCTGGACAGCGGTCAGTCTTGGCATGTTCGTTGGTGTTAATCATCGCAACCAATGATAGGGAACAGATTCGTGCGTAATTTATACCCGGAAATTGCACGATAATTTCGGAAAGAATGTTTTAAAAAATTGCTGAAAAACACCAATATCTCCCAAAATCCGCAAAGCACGTGCAAAGCACGTGCAAAGAACGACAGAGAACATGAAGGCTGTATTCGTGAGATGTGTTCTTTACTGTTTTTGAACAGGTTGGCATCTTTGTTTCAAAGTGGCAAATCAGTTAATGTTGGTAACGTTTCTTTTGGTCCTCAGTTTAGTAACATAGAGTTGACCGAATTGGAATAAAGTAGTACGAGCCTATCTACGTTGACATGATTGGAAATTCATGCACACAAACGTCTTCACAATTTATGTTTCTGATTTGGAAGACGTTTGAATGGAAAGACAAATGGTTATGCACAAGCATTATGTCTAGACATAAAATATTTTAAATAGATTGGCTGTTGAAATGGTAAAGCAAGCTGATTGGTTAGAATACCGTTTGGCATCACGTCTATAATTAACATTAAAAATGATTGGTCCTGTTTCATAAGAGGACAATAGAGATTGGCTACGCAGAAAAGAGAAGGACGTTAATCGTGTGAAATGGAATTTCCATCTTCATTCGGAGTAAATGTAGGGTTTACAAACATTCTGTGATTTGAGGGTCGACCTCTATTTGGGAAGAGCGAACTAAGAACAACCTACAATAATGGCAGACATTTGCACGGAATCTGTTGGCTATAAATCCAGTTGTACCAATTTCACTTTGGAACATGTTTGTCCACGGTGAAGGACTGACCGAAACAAATGCGTCCCCTAGAAATATGGCACACGCAGGAGTTGTCTATCTCAGTCGGGCATGCGCAGATGCATGCCGCCACAAGTGTAAACTCCTTCTCGAGGAATGGGAAGCCTCAGATGAACAGAGAAACGGCCTCCAAACTGCAACTATATTACTTTGGTAGGAATAAGCAGAGGGCGGTGGTAGCCTAATGGTTAAAGCGTTCGCTCGTCACGCCGAAGATCCGGGTTCGATTCCCCTCATGGGTACAGTTTGTTGCCCATTCCTGGTGTCCCCCGCCGTGATATTGCTGGATTATTGCTAAAAGCGGCGTAAAACCTTACTCACTCATTCATAATGAGCAGAAGAAGGTTGGTTGGTTGGTTGATTGTTTAACGCCGCACTCAACAATATTCCAGCTATATGACGGCGGTCTGTAAATAATCGAGTTTGGACCAGACAATCCAGTGATTAACATCAAGCATCAGAAGGACAGTAATGTGGCAAGATGTGACCCGGATGTAGTTCGAAAGTATGTGTTTGCATATTTCTAGAAGACATATGGCTGTGAACTGTTCTCTGAGACTTTTGAGGCCAAACATCAAATCAATCAACCATAAAAATATTAATTTTAAAACCTGTGCTTTGAATAAAAAACTACTCTTATTGCGGAACACACAACTTTTCTATTCTTAGTTTGTCGACAAGTACTAGACCCGTGAAGATCCGGGGTAGAATAGGTCTTCAGCAACCCATGCTTGCTGCAAAAAGCGCCTATGCTTGTCGTAAGAGGCGACTAACGGGATCGGGTGGTCAGGCTCGCGGACTTGGTTGATGCATGTCATCGTATCCCAATTGCTAGGATCGATGTTCACGATGTCAATCACTGGATTGTCTGGTCAAGTCCGCCGTCATGTAGCTGGAATATTGCTGAGTGCGACGTTAAACAACAAACGAACAAGTTCCACATCGTATGTTATTTTGCATTTCTGATGACCTTATCTGTGCTGGCTGTGGTAGATGAACAGTTTTCTTGTGTCTGAACATGGTATCTATTATCAAAATATTTTCCACACGCAGAATATACCTTATCTCCATGATGAAAACATGCACAAAACGTCACTAAAATGTGCGTCAAACGTTTAGGACACGTTCTACAGATGTGTCTTGAATAGTGTTGATACTGTTTAAACACAATTGTTACCTGTAAAATATTTAACCGAAACGATAGATGGAAGCAAACTCTTTGCTACAATATAATTTGAAAAGTGAATTTGAGTCAGTTTTGCAAAGACGTGTATGAGGATGAATGTATGAGGTATTACTTGCTCGCAAATGGATTTTTTAATCAACATTTTGATTATACCTTATAACTTCACCTAGTCTGGCCTACACCCTCAGTTGGTGTTGACGCGAGGTCTGTCCATTGTCCCTACGCTTAAAACTGTTTGCTCGACTGGCCACCTCTTCGACTGTGTAAAGTTACCTTAAACGCAGCGCATGCATTGCCATTCACAAGGCGGGTCAGACTGATGTCGAGTGTAAATACTTCGTATCTGACGAGACTGACGTGAACAAAAAGCGTTATATTTTTACCGAATCGGACCGAATTGCTTAATATTTCCCTTATAAGAGTCAAGACTTGTGTTGACATAAGTTTCGACTTTTGTTTGTGAGGGTTAGGTCTGTTTGCTGGAGTGGCTAACCATTTATCACTGGGTCTTCTCGGCACGCACCTGATAGCCGATAGGAGTGAGTGAGTTGGGTTTATCGCCGCTTTTAACAGAATAACAGTATATCGCGGCGTGTCAGCTTAATGTGGGAGGAATGTCTCAGACGTTTACCACTTCGGTGAAACCCACGAGCACGGGTATGGTGCTGACAAACCTAGAAACATAATCGGGGCGAACCAGGATTCGAACCCACAATAATAGGTTTCTGGCGTGCCCAAGGGACGCAACTCTGCACAGCGAATTGCGGCGCCTTAGACGACTGGGCCACCCGTGCCCCCATATCCGATAGGAGTGCAAGGAAGACTTACCAACAGATGAAACTTATTTTTTACCGCTAACAATCAAATGTTAAGTGTAATCCAAACTACATTAATAGACCCGTGACGATCCGGAGTAGAATAGGTCTTCAGCAACCCATGCTTGCCGTAACAGGCGACTGACGGGATCGGGTGGTCAGGCTCGCTGACTTGGTTGATGCATGTCATCGATCCCAATTGCGTGGATCGATGCTCATGACATTAATCACTGGATTGTCTGGTCCAGACTCGATTATTTACAGACCGCCGTCATATAGCTGGAATATTGCTGAGTGCGGCGTTAAACAACAAACCAACCAACCAACCCATTATCCGAGTGTGACAATTTACATGTTTCCGCTCTTGCTGCTGTTTGTATTGTTAAATTGAGGTAAGTACTTTGATGAAGAATGTGTAGCCAAGTTTCACCAGGTTTATTTACAATATGAGGGAAAATGTAAATAGGCATTTGTTGGTTTTAATATAATTGTCATTATCTTTCCTACTAAACCGTAAATAGACAGTCTTCATTTCTGCAACAGTCTCCTCTTCAGACATGTTTGAGAGACACTTTGCACGATCACTGCAACGGCTCTACATGAATTCAGTGTTTTTTGTACCGAGACAATCTCAGAACTTGAAGGATGGTGTGCTCGAAGAGGAGTTAATGATTGTTGTCTCTGTATACATTCCACAAACAAGAAACCGGACCCGACTAGAGCAACGTTTTCCACAATCCCATATCTTCCTTGAACAGATCTGGAAACCACGGAGGGGTTGCTTTCGTGTGGCTCATCATCAGCTCCTTAGACAACCAGAAATCGTGGCCGAAGATTCAATATTGAATACAGTTCCTCATCAGAAAATAGAACCGTATCTGTATCAATATGCCTTCCCTTTGTTTTTGAATGAGAAATTATATTCGACACCCTTTCCACCACCCGCCAACCCGCCCTTGACAGGCACATGAAGAAAACAGAAATAGTGCCAGATTGGTTAATGAGCCACCACATTCTGGCATAGGACTCTAGGTAAAATTACATATAGCGATCATAATATTTCATGTTAAACAAAATATTGCTATAACATTGTTTTGAAATTCAAGTTGTCCATACAGGCTATGGCGTGACCAGCCGATTGAGAGAATCGGGTCGATTCTACCTCCCGTCTTGGTGAAGTTGGGGTCAAAGTAGTGTGTTGGGCAAAAGGAACACCATTGCCCTCAACCACCAGAATCCCTTCCTCCGCCGACACAGGAGTGCAACCCAAGGCAAACGAGTTGCCCAATTTGGACGCCTCTTACGACCAGCAATGGGGTGGATTCTACCCCGGGTCCCTGCGGGGTCAACACTGAAAGCTGTTCCCAACTTTGATCTTAAAATGCAGTTGTAAGCAGTGCACTGGATTCCTGTAATTAAAGTCTTACGGTCATCTTCATACCCTCATTATAAGTAATGTCAAGTTTGGCAAACGTTTGGCCCAGAATACTGACAACTGTTCACAGACACTCAGAAGTTCACAATCATCTTCATCACAGACTCCTGTCATCCCCTTCATCCTCTCCATCAGACTGTCACACACGCATGCGCAACACATGGTCCCATTACAAGTACTGGGGTCTTTAAACGAGGCTCTTGATACTTCTGGAAGGGGGCACGGGTGGCCCAGTCGTCTAAGGCGCCGCGATTCGCTGAGTTGCGTCCCGTGGGCACGCCAGAAACTATGATTGTGGGTTCGAATCCCGGTTCGCCCCGATAATGTTTCTAGGTTTGTCAGCACTTTACCAGTGCTCGCGGGTTTCACTGAAGTGGTAAACGTCTGAGACCTGCATCACTACGGGCTTTCCTCCCACATTAAGCTGACACGCCGCGATATAACTGGAATATTGTTAAAAGCGGCGTTAAACCCAACTCACTGACTCACTTTGATACTACTGGAAATGTATAGGTATTCGTACTGGAACTAATATCGTGACACGTGACACAACACAAGCTGGCGGCAGTTGTGGTCCACAGGGACTGGAGTGGTAATTTATTGTCATGAAACAATGACACAGCAAAGGAGGTGAGGTCGCCAAAATGTATCACAAATATATACAGTTCTAAGACCCATGCCCGCTCCTCTATCGCCGCTGGGACCATTTGGATACATAGATCAGAGCAGATCCCAACACTCTGGCTCATCTTGAACGAGTCCCAGTGGTAGAGTGGATCCCGATCTAACATAACGACATCTGTGAGTGTGTTTGCCTGCCTTCATACAGACAGGGGCCACACAAGATAATGACCATATTTTGCATTTTGGTATGAATTATCCACTGTGACCCCTCATGTGCTTAAGTGACTGTGATGTATGTAATCGTTTTGTGTTTTTATCACTTGTTTCACAATTAAATTATTGTTGAAATACAGTTACACTGTACATTATTGCCACCCGGTGTTTCGATTTCGTTTTCTTGCCACCCTAGATGATGCTTAGTTTCTCTAGCTCGCCAGTTTATGTAGGTAGCGGAATTTGCCAGTGGAACCCAGTAATGTATTGTGGTCAAGATGAAAAATGTACTCCACTTGATCAAATATCAATCTTTCATTGGATAAGAACTTTTGTAAATGACAACAATGTGTGACTTGTTGTCATAATATTTACAGAATAGTACACATACATACATACATACATACATACATACATACATACATACATACATACATGCTCATGTTCAGCTCATGCAATATAAATATGTTACAGGAAACAAGTATAATCAGTGATTAAGTCTAATAACTGGAAATTTCAGTGATTATGTCTAATAACTGATTCACTCGGTGGTTATGTCTAATTACTGAAATCTTCAGTAATTAGACATAATCACTGAAATGAACCAAGGGATTTTATACTTGTTTACTGAAAGCATATCCCTGCCTTTTTATAATAACTATAAAATCCCTTGGTTCATTTCAGTGATTATGTCTAATTACTGAAGATTTCAGTAATTAGACATAACCACCGAGTGAATCAGTTATTAGACATAATCACTGAAATTTCCAGTTATTAGACTTAATCACTGATTATACTTGTTTCCTGTAACATATATACTTCCAAGACAAACAATTAACATATAACAAAGGACAGACAGGAATATTGTCATGCGAAATTCAATTTAATAAAACGCCCACTCCAAGATGTGGAACAAATAGTACGTCATGTGATACCCCTCGCGTGAGTCCGCGACGAAGCAGCCAGGCAGGAGTGACTCCCCGGGGTTCATTGTCTTGGGGACCAGGTAAGTGCCGTTCCACGCCAGGGAGCACGTGGGGGGTGAAGCGTCCTCAATCACGGAGGAGTAGAAGGTCAGATCCACTTGCTGCGGACAGAAAGGCGACAATACCAACGATGCCCACTAACCAACGTCAGGTGGCAGAACCGGCGTGGCTTTTCTACGTTTCTCTGCGTGTTATTCAGCGGCTAGCGACTGAAAATCTCAACCATTTGACGCAGCGCTGTTTGAAAGGTCTTGTAATTTTGTGATCACAAGCTAATATACGTGTTTGTGAGTATCACGTATCGCCAAATGAACTGCTTATAAGGTTGTACGTCATACTACTCGTCTACACCACGCCAACGTCATTCTACCAACTCATGCCACGTCAACGTAATTCTACTAACTTAACTCATGCCACGTCAACGTCATTCTAACTCACTCGCGCAACGTCAACGTCATTCTACCTAATCACGCCACATCAACGTCATTCTACTCACTCATGCCCATCAACGTCATTCTACTCATTCATGCCACGTCAAAGTCATTCTACTAACTCATGCCACGTCAACGTCATTCTACTCACTAATGCCACGTCAATTATTTTGCGTTTGTTTTGTCATAAACAGAAATGTTTATATTAGGCCGCGCCTACTAACAGACTACTGTTTCCTAATTGGCTGATAGATTTCCCGACAGAATGGGCGGTGCTTGTGTTGCATTATTGCCCTGCGCGATGTCACTGATATCGAATTATCATGTACAGCTTTTATTGTCAATAAATAAATAAGCAGTGTGTGACGTATTTAATTATAAGATTTTATTTCAATACGTTTTTGCACTGATTTACTCAGTGTATACAATGGTACACTTGCGTGTATGCTTTCAAAAACTAAAACAAATAGCAAGTGATATCTTAAATTCAAATATAATTAAACAGAGTCTACTGCCGTCCTTTTCGGATTGTAGGATTGTCACGACGGTGTATATGCATTGTTGCTTGAGTTTCTCTAGCTCGTCAGTTTATGTAGGTAGCGGAATTTGCCAGTGGAAACGAGTAATGTATTGTGGTCAAGATGAAAAATGTACTCCACTTGATCAAATGTCAATCTTTCATTGGATAAGAACTTTTGTAAATAACAACAATGTGTGACTTGTTGTCATAATATTTACAGAATAGTACACAAACATACATACATGCATGCTCATATTCAGCTCATGCAATGTAAACTTCCAAGACAAACAATTAACATATAACAAAGGACAGACAGGAATATTGTCATGCGAAATTCAATTTAATAAAAAGCCCACTCCAAGATGTGGAACCAGTAGTACGTCATGTGATACCCCTCGCGTGAGTCCATGACGAAGCAGCCAGGTAGGAGTGACTCCCCGGGGTTCATTGTCTTGGGGACCAGGTAAGTGCCGTTCCACGCCAGGGAGCACGTGGGGGGTGAGGCGTCCTCAATCACGGAGGAGTAGAAGGTCAGATCCACTTGCTGCGGACAGAAAGGCGACAATTCCAACGATGCCTAGTAACCAACGTCATGTGGCGGAACCGGCGTGGCTTTTCTACGTGTCTCTGCGTGTTATTCAGCGGCTAGCGACTGAAAATCTCAACCATTTAATGCAGCGCTGTTTGAACGCGGATGCAGCGTTTTTAAAAGGTCTTGTACGTTTTGTGATCACAAGCTAATATACGTATTTGCGAGTCTATTTTTCTAAACGTATCACCAAATGAGTTGCTTATAAGGTTGTACGTCATACTACTCGTCCACACCACGCCAACGTCATTCTACTCAGTCATGTCACGTCAACGTCATTCTACTAACTTAACTCTTGCTACGTCAACGTCATTCTACTCAGTCATGTCACGTCAACGTCATTCTACCAACTCATGTCACGTCAACATCATTCTACTGCATCGCACCACATCAACGTCATTCTACTAACTCAAGTCACACACACACACACACACACACACACACACACACACACACACACACACACACACACACCATCTGGGTCGCCGCATGACTACTGTCTTCACATCCTCATGCACTTCCGGTCACTTAGTTGCGTATAAAAGTTCTGTATGGAAACGTACTTGGGTCGCCGGTGAACGTCGTCAGTAAAGGGCTACCCTAATCAAAGCTCATCAAACGATGTTTCTGGTTCGAGCTTCATGGACACAATGTTGGTGAAACCCAAATGAGAACGATGAATTGCAAAATAACTCGAAATCAAGAAAAGTGTATGAAACATCAATACGGTACTTGACCATGAATACCCTGTACCCAACAAAATGTGAATTTTGTTTATTTTAAGACCCATGACGGATGAAGTTCTTTAAGAAACTATCATGTAATTTTGTATAGAAATGTGTACATGACACGTAGGGGGTACAAACCGTGGAAGGCACAGCGCAAGCACGCATGCACTGCACGTTCTGTGGTAGGGGAAATGACAGAGCGTTAGAGGGGCCGGCTCATGATAATTTCAGTCGCAATCTGACTCGCTCATGCCATAGATCTCGTCGTCGGAACTGCTGGTGCCTGAACCGACTGCCACTATTATAGGTTGGACTGTTGCTGGCCGTAGTCCATCTCGTGACCAATAACGTGGCTCTATCTCGTCAACGACTGTGGCCACACAACGCCTCCATGTTTCTACTGTTACCCGACCAAGGGATTCCTTTACGAGTTGTTCAACGTCTCGTAATTTGAACGTTGTGTTCGATCGTCCAACGTCACCCTTGACGATGCCCCATACCAACTCGATTGGATTCAGGTCGCAGTGATAAGGTGGCAGTCGTAAGACAGCGTGACCCTGACCCTTGATGTAACTGTCAACTTTATACACGGGGTCAGGTTTCATAGTTTTGATGATTTCATAGAGCTGTGGTTTCGTCGCTCGAGAAGGAAAGGTAATGTTCCTCCGTTGCAGCCAAGTAACCATGTCTCCTTTACGGTTATTAGAGGTTGGAGTCTGGATCCTGCACACTATGACACGGTGCATTGTCCATGACAATGAGATACTTGGTAGGCAAAGCAAGGACTAATTTTTCTTTCACCCACTCCAGAAATACATTGCCGTTCATTTCTGTGTGGTAGTCCCTGTTGTCTTTGGCCTTGGCTCTAAAGACGAGGTCACAGTCTGGGAGAAAACCCTGACTAGCAGAACCAGCATGGAGAACTATGAGTCTTTCACCCTTTCCCATTGGTAACTTTCTACCAGACTCCTTACAGTCACCACTGGGTACCCACTGACTGCTGGCTGTGTGTGACGCATTTACCCATGTCTCATCTAAGAAGACGGGCTCATATCCTTCTTCACGTTTCTGCTTGATGGTACGAAGGTAATGATTTCGGAGACGAACAATGTCAGACCGTTCAAACAACACAGCCCTATTTTCTCCAGTTATCTTTTTGTATTTGTAACCAAATGTATGCAACAGCTGCCATAGTTTGTACTTTGTAACACGTAAATCATGGTCAGTTTCAAGGTGTTTCTTCAAAATTCTTAGGGACAGGTACTTATTTTCTGAGTGCAGTTTAACAATTGCACGTCTGACTTGATCCCTCTGAAAACTGTCTTATTTATCAACCTTGCGTGGTTTTGTCATGTTCCCTACCTCCTTGGCCTGACTATTTGTATCTCGTCGACTAACAACATTTTTAAGTTTCTGAGGGGACATACCAAGAGCTTTTGAAGCTCGTTTCAAGAATTTATTAATTGCATAAAAAAGCTTTGCTCTTTCTGCTTCTCTTCTAAAGAAATCATAAACATTCAACATAACTGTTTAACGTCTGCTGAGTAGCGCATCTTGTCATTGAATGAACACGGTCACTGTGTAGCACGTGCAGACCGTGCTTGCGCTGTTCCTTCCACGGTTTGTCCCCCTACGTGTCATGTACACATTTCTATACAAAATTACATGATAGTTTCTTAAAGAACTTCATCCGTCATGGGTCTTAAATCAAACAAAATTCACATTTTGTTGGGTACAGGGTATTCATGGTCAAGTACCGTATTGATGTTTCAAACACTTTTCTGGATTTCGAGTTACTTTGCAATTCATCGTTCTCATTTGGAGTCAAACGGACTTGTATATGCCAATACACCAAATCTAAGTATTAATATAATAAATGAATTGCAAGTGGCTCCGTCGTAAATTATGTTGCGTTTGTCTTGTCAGAAACAGAAAAAATTAGGCCACGCCTACTAACAGACTACTGTTTCCTGATTGGCTGATAACTTTTCTGACAGAATGGGCGGTGCTTGTGTTGCGTTATTGCCCTGCGCGATGTCACTGATTTCGTATTGTTATGCACAGCTTTTATTGTCAATAAATAAATAAGCAGTGTGTGACGTATTTATTTATAAGATTATATTTCAATATGTTTTTGCACTGATTTACTCAGTGTGTACACTGGTACACTTACGTATATGCTTTCAAAAACTAAAACAAATAGCAAGTGATATCTTAAATTAAAACATAATTAATCAGAGTCCACTGCCGTCCTTTTCGGATTGTCGGATTGTGACGACGGTGGATATGCATTGTTGCATTGGTTATCAAGCAAGTCGCTCCCAACTGTTATAAAGAACTTGTTCAGTTAAATATGTTATCCTTACTTAGTACTCAAACTTCTAATGGCTCTCAAATAAGTTCTTCATCAGGAGAGTGAGTGAGTGAGTGAGTTGGGTTTAACGCCGCTTTTAACAGTATTCCAGTTATAAAGCGGCGTGTCAGCTTAATGTGGGGGGAAAGCCCGAAGTGATGCAGGTCTCAGACGTTTACCACTTCGGTGAAACCCACGAGCACTGGTATAGTTCTGACAAACCTAGAAACATCATCGGGGCGAACCGGGATTCGAACCCACAATCATAGGTTTCTGGCGTATCGAAGGGACGCATATCTGCACAGCGAATCGCGGCGCCTTAGATGACTTGGCCACCCGTGCCCCCCTCTTCATCAGGAGAGTCGTCAAGATTCGACATCAGTCAGATAGTGGGATTTACAACATTGTGTGACGACCAGTTCTCCCCCTGTGATGTCCCCTCTGACATATATACAGATACAAATTGACTTCAATTAACCAGACATAAATAAAATAAACTACGTACTTCGTCCTCGGTAAATACTATTTTCGCCTGACCACATAGACCTCTTAATAGGTCCATGTTTATGTATATTACATGTATACATTTCAGGAGAAATTTGTATTGTTACTGCATCACCCTCTTCTGGGCGTGTACTACGATATGAAGTTTATACCACACCATGGAGGTCTTTTGTCCCCTCAGCTGTTGGACGTTGAACCTCAGAGGACCCCGGTCACATGATCCAACAGAGAAGGCGTCTGATTGGTTATATTTGACCCCAGATGTTAGCATAGGGGTCACAATGGTGGCAATGCATCCACTGTAAAATAGATTTTTTTCAACAGTTTATACATGATTTAAGACTGAAATGATACCTATTATAATATCATTTCGCACGTTAAATCTCCGAATATGAATGAATGAATGAATCTATTATAATTTTAAACCCCAAATCACTCATCCACCCATTCAGTCTTTGTTTTCAGTCCGCAAAGTTATTTATTTAATTTTTTCCATGTTAACAGTACCCACTGATAAGACTGTAAAACTACATGGCATGAATGACCAAGAACGGCGTAGATCAACAGATGGTTTGTCTGCTTGCCTTTGCACCACATCACTGTCACTTATACCACACCAACGTCACTCTTCCTCAACGTCGTTCTACTTACCCGCGATTCCACGTCACTCTACTCCCCCACACCACCACCAACGTCATTCTTTCTAATCACGCCAACGCCGCTCTAGTTTATACACGTTAACATCATGCCACGCCAACGTCTCTTTACTCACCCACACCACTTCAACGGTGAGATTTCTTCTCACTCACTCCAGGTCAACATAATGCTACTCACCTAAACCACGTCAGCGTCGCTCTACTCACACCACGTCGACGTCATTCTACTCACGCCACGTCAACGTCACTTTACCCATCCACACCAGGTCAACGTCACTCTACTTTCTCACGCAACGTCAACATTACTCTACTCACTCACACGAATGCCAAGTCAACGTCGATCTATTCACATACGCTACGTAAACGTCGGTCTACTAACTCATAGCTCGTCAACGCATTTCTACTAACTCATGCACGGTACGTCAACGACTGTCTACTCAATTACCCTAAGTCAACGTGTCTACTCACTCATGCCACGTCAACGCGTCTCTAGACAAACAGTGGTTTGTCTGATTGCCTATGCACCACGTCTGCCACTCACTCCAAGTCAACGCCTTTTAACACACTTAATCGGAGTCAACGCCACTCGACTCACTCCAAGTTAATCCGCTCTACTCACTTTTCGTCCCAGGTGTCATTGACAGTGACAAGAAATTTTATCCCCACAGTGCCATCCAAGGCTCCATACAGGTCTACCGAATCCTCTTTCCCTTCCACCAAACCCACAACCAGTAATGTGAGGAGCACTGCTGTATGCATGGTGACTGGGAATGATAAGCAATCTCAAGATTATCCACGTGATAAGATCTGACGCATGCGCTGAGACCGTGTTATATCTGTTCAGACAATAAATGTATATTTCGATTTGAGGAATTAATGAACTTTGAAACAATGAGGCTCGTAACCTCATTTTAAGATACAGATTTGGAAAGGTGTTATTTCATACATAAATCCCATGACCTACGAATGGTCTATAAGCAAACGTACACAAACTGTAATCTGACCCAAAGACAAGACAAAGTCTGCAAGTTATCTGGTTTCATGACAGGTTAAGGTAACACGACTAACAGCCGCCCAGGTATATAGGAATATAGGTCAGATGTGTTTTCCTGGTGAATAATGTCATTTGGATGACCAATCATGATGTATTTGTAGCAGTATTACTCGGGGTATAGTTCTCCTTCTATCATTTAATGTGAATAAACGACTGAACATCGAAATGAAGGACTGTGGTTAACTAGCTACGTTATGCCCTCCATTGGTGAGACAGCACTGCAAACATCGTAGGGCACGATCAAAAATAATTCTTCCTGCTCGGTCCGTTAGGCTGACACGCCGTGAAATAAATGAAATACTGTTCCTTCGTGAGTGAGTTTTATATCTAACGCCGCTTTTAGCAATATTCCAGCAATATCACGGCGGAGGACACCAGACATGGGCTTCACACATTGTACCCATGTCGGGAATAGAACCCGGTTCTTCTGCGTGACGGGCGAACGCTTTAACCACTAGGCTACCCGACCGCTCCCTGTTCCTTCGTAATTGAAGAGGAAATACATGTTATATATCATGTCTGGTGTTCCATTACACTCAATAAGAGTTGGAAGATCGAGTGTGCAGGTTCCATGTAGTGACTCTACAACAAAATCCTCCGCCCTTCTGCCAGACGTTTCCACCAAACTTGCACATGATGAAGAGTGTATGGTACTCTCTCACTCATATCTGTCAGGGGAGGTAGGGTAGCCTAGTGGTTAAAGCATTCGCTCGTCGCGCTGAAGGCACGGGTTCGATTCCCCACATGGGGACAATGTGTGAAGCCCAAACTCACTAACACACTCTGTACGGTCTAGGAAGAATTCTGTTCTTCCAGTGATGAGTTGATTCTGTGATTCGCCCGTGCCAGTGATTAGCCCCACTCCGTGCCAGTGATTTGCAGCCATGTATGTTTATACTATCACTGAAAGGGATCGTTATACAAAGGTTGTTGAGCCTAAGGCATCGGACTTACATATACATCTTACTGAAAGTAGTGCATCAAATACTCATGTTTGGCCAGGCAATCCAGTAATTTATATCATGAGCATCGATTCACGTAATTCGGATACGATGACATGCATCAACCAAGTCAGAGAGCCTGACCATCTCCATTTTGTAATATACTAAAAGAATATACAGAAAGGTTGGTTCTTTTGATGTAGGGTACGCATCTGGCCACTCAATCGAAAGGCAGGCATCTCATCCACAGGAACGGAGGTAGACACTTTGGTATGAAACCATGCTATACCGTGGCATCATTCTTGGTGATGTCCTTCCAGTCCAACGTATCTAACACTTGATTAAAAGTCCACCCACGCACGCGATAGGTCAGCATGTAGAGACAGTACATGCCACACAACGTGCTGTATCCATGTTGTAAGTGGCGTGTATTCCATCGTTGTTGAATCTGACCCATGCGATTCAATGTCTCTTTAAACAGGGGTAATGAATACAGTCCATAGCTATCCATCATTTCCACCGATCCAGGAGCTGGACGGTAGATGCTCACCCAGTGTGTGCCAGGTTGATCGCTTGAATCCTATTTTGACCACGTAGACTTTGGGGTAAAAGGGGTCATCCCAGTCTGGCAAAGTCATCTCTGGCCAGGGTGCCTCGGTAGATGGCATGAAGTGGTTCGTCATCATCCACGATGGCTTCTAAATCCAAGGTGCTCAACCCGAATGGTTCATCCATGGTCCCTTGTAGGGGGGGGGAAAAAGTGTGGCATGACTGTCTGTCGCCGCTCTTTTTATACCATCATCGCATTCCGGAAACTATCTATTTCCAGAACATTTTCGTATTCCTCATAGCAGATGAGGGTGACCGGGTTATCAAGAGCTTGTCCAAACTGGATTTCCAAACCCAACTTGCCAGTGTGTCGAGAGTAGTTGATGCCTTCATCAGCGCCAAGGTCTGGGGTGAGATCCACCACCCACAAGGTGTAACCTTGAGTAAAGGCCTTGGGAGTCAGCTCACAGGTCTCAGGTCGCCTCCTCCTCCTCCTCCCTCCCCCTCCTCCTCCCACCTTCCTCCCCCCCTTTACGAGCGCTTCTTATGTCCTCCTCCCCCTCCCCGGAACCGGATGTGACGTCCTTTTGTAGATGCGCACACCTCCCGGAACCGGATGTTCCGCCATCTTGGATGCGAACGCAGCCGAAACCGGAAGTGCGCCATCTTGGATGCGAATGCGCCATCGGAACCGGGAGTGCTGCCATCTTGGATGCGCACTCATGACTGCTACCAACTACTATCGGCGGCTCATTAAAGACACCAGATGATTGAGCACAGCCTTTGGGGATGTTGTTTTTACAAAAGTCAACCAAGAATTGCATCAACTGAGCAAGCAAGAAAACATATCAGAACACTGCCACCCCGAAATTTACACCAGCGTGGCTAAAACGTACCCCTGGGCGCCTGTAGCTCTTGCAAGACCAGCAGAGCTGTCCAGATGAACCTGGACCATCTGTGAACAGTAGACTGTCCCAGTCTTGTCCTGTGATCCTCAGACGCTGTCTACACCAAGCTGGGTGTGCCTGACGGTGACGCGGAAGCAATATTGGGCGAATCGCTGGACGTCGGGGCCGGATGTTTGGCTCCCTCAACCGATTGCGTGCGGTTCTGCTGCTATTTGAATTGTCCGAGATGTGAATGTGGTTGTTTGGTATAGATTCTATAGATGCACCCACCGAATATGGTTGTCGTGTTGACGTGACGTCACACGTGGACAGCTACACAATCATTGTGAGCTGTTCACATTAAAAAGTCACGTGTATCATGAGCGTATCATGCTTCTAACAAAGACGCAAACATCCAAATTGTGCGCCGTGCATGAACATGCATGTGCAAATTATTAATCACGTCCTTGAAGTCGAGATGTCTTCATGAATATGTATTCAAAGATGTATTAATTAATTTCAGAATAAGTTTATTTTTATTGAGCTTTATATTAAGCAGAGTTATCTTTTCCGTTAATGTATATAACATTGTACTCTTTTCCTGGCATCAAACCCTCAAGGACAGAAGATCCACGGCACCCAGGGGACAAAATTGAGGATTGAGTGGTCACAATGGGATCTGGGGTTATACACTTTGGTTCATCCAGACGTGTGACGATTTGTCTACCTGTTGTATCACTCAGTTGGGAGGTATACTATACATTACATTGGTTTCAATAGTTCATGTTATCAATAATGTTCTGCTATCGGTATTTCTCCGCTTTTTATATCAGTATCCACAAACACTATTCCACCAAAGTATACTGTATTTTGTTTACCGCTGCACTCAGCAATAGTCCTGGTATATGACAACAGCCTGTAAGTAATCTTGTCTGGACAAGACAAACTAGTGATTTATATTCTGAGAATGTTCCACGCCGTCGGGGTACCAATTCACTGAGCTGACCACCCGATCTATCTGGTTGCCTCTTATATCCAACAAAGGTAGTTGGGGGCCAATCCTAATCAGGACACCATACACCTTAACATGGCGGGTATGGTGTACCTTGATAAAGCGGGTATGGTGTACCTGGATAAAACGGGCATGCACCTTAACATGGCGGGTAGCATGTACCTCAACAGAGAGGGTATGTACCCCAATGCAACGGGGACGCCACTGCGTGTATTTCCTTGTTCGGGAGGATAGCCACTGAAAGACATTCATTGAATCACATACCGTTTCAGACACGCCGACACTGATTGACTCACTCACTCACTCATTTATGGTAAATACATGATTCCCACCTCCAGGGAGCGTCTACCGACATCAAAACCTTCAGCGACGTAACATCGTCGGGTTTGAAGTCAACGTCGGCACTGTACATCGACAGCACCAACAACGCCGACCCCAACAGCATCAATCTGAACTTGCGGCACCTCGCTGTATGTGCATTATTGCCAGACCTAGCTTTTGTGAAGACAGCGAAGCAGATTGGAGATTCCTACGTCTGGAGTCTTGCTCTTTATACGGTCAACTCTTTAAAGGTCCGTGTTTATAAGCGTGTTTTACATTTCAGGTGACATTGTCGCTGTATTGAATATTTGTATTGTAACTGTGTCAACCTCTTCTGAGCGTGTACGACGATATGAATCTTATACCACACCATGGACGTCTTCTGTCCCACAGTTGTTAGACACCCGTGAAGACCCGGGGTAGAATAGGTCTTCATCAACCCATGCTTGCTGTAAAAGGCGACTATGCTTGTCGTAAGAGGCGACTAATGGGACCGGGTGGTCAGGCTCGCTGACTTGGTTGATGCATGTCATCGATCCCAATTGCGTGGATCGATGCTCATGATGTCAATCACTGGATTTGTCTGGTCCAGACTGGATTATTTACAGACCGCCGTCATATAGCTGGAATATTGCTGAGTGCGGCGTTAAACAACAAACCAACCAACCTAACAATTGCGTGGATCGATACGAGTGATGTCAATCACTGTATTGTCTGTCCAGATTAGATTATTTACAGACCGCCGCCATATAGCTGGATTATTGCTGAGTGCGCCGTTAAATAACAAAGAATCATATTTTCCCAGCGTCTGGTCACATGTGTTCTTAAATTTAGGAACCCGTTCACCCATCACATCAGCACTGGCTTGTAGGGTCCTTCTGTCTCGAGGCCCAGATTTGTAAGGCTCCGCATTTCGAGTGAGTGAGTGAGTTTGGTTTAACGCCGCTTTTAACATTATTCCAGTTATATCACGGCGTGTCAGTTTAAAGTGGGAGGAAAGCCTGTAGTCCACATTTCGAATTTGTGTTCTTAGATATGTCCGGACCCTAGGATCAAGGTTCGAACCTAAGATACATCTTGATTATGATCAATGTTTTGTCAGCACCATACCCGTGCTCTTGGGTCTCACCAAAGATTCAGTGACTCGGTTATATTATAGGTTTATTAGTTGTCCAGGACAGGATATGGAACCAGTAGTAAGTCGTGTGGTAGCCCTCTACAGAGTCTGACGTCTCACATCCGGGCAACAGGGACTCGTTTGCCCACATGGTGTGGGGGGTGAGGTAGGTGCCGTTCCAGCAGATGGGACACGTGGGGGGCATGGCGTGGACGTCCGCGGAGTAGAATGTCACATCAACCACCTGTAAAGGAAGTAGGTCAGTGTGAGGCACCGGCATAGTTGGTTCAAGATGAAGGGGCAGACTAAAGTACTCGCGGAAATGAAAAAAAACCTGGTTTTTTTATCTCAGATTTTAAATAAATGCAGTTAATATACAAAATATATAAATATTCAAACAACTGAATTAGTACTAAATGGGCCTTGGCACAAATACAGCGTATCAAAGGTTTTTATGTCTTTTTACACGTAAAAGTGTGTAAAAATATGAACAAAACAGACTATTGTGAAACTGAACATAACCAGGTGTTAGTAGATCAAGGTGAATGTCCATGACCTATGACACATTGACGACAGGTGAAAACAGGTGCTTGAAACCCACGTGCATGTGATTTGTCAGTGGTTAGTGATTTGTCAGTGGCATTGTGGGATAGTGAATCATCGTCAAAATATCAGAACGTAAAAGTAACATATTCCCTTCTCAAACAACAACTTACATGTCATTATTATTATGTACGTAAACATAGCTGTTATTTTTATTGTTGTTTTGATAACTTTTTTCCAGGCTAATTTGCATAATGCCTATAGCCTGTTTCTGCCATGTCAATTTGGACTTAGTTTTATTTTTGAATGTTGAAAGTGCCTACAAATTACCTCCTGTAAAGTACATTTTGTATTGAGCACTGAGATAAAACTAGCAAATCCAGACTAGTACTTTTCCAGTTGTTTTGTTATTTCGTATTTACATCTACGTAATGCTTTGTGTCGATTATTAAATCCAGCAAAACAGGTTTTTTTCCATTTCCATGAGTACTTTAGTGTGAAGGCGTACCAAGGTCACAGTAAAGACAAAGTCAGGTCGTACTAAGTCGTAGGTATAGTCAGAGTGCAGACAATCAGGTCAAGGTCAGGCAAGAGTCAGATCAGAGTGAAGGCATAGTCAGGTAAGAAAGAACTTCAAAGAGTTTATGTTGATCCGATCCTGGCTGCATGGTGGTCGAGCTGTCTAACCCTTACCATGCTGCTGCTGGTGCAGGGGTAGTTGGGGTTGGTGTTGTTGCGGATGAAGACTTTGATCGGTCCCGAGTCGCACCCATCAACATCCACCTGCTTTACGCTGTGCCACTTGTTGCTAGGGAGCAGCTTGGGTGTCTCTACTGTCGCTATGCAGTTGCTGGTAATGTACAATGATGCAGACTCAAGGACAATAATTCAAGGATCTACTTTGTATATTTTCACAGAGTGATATGGAGAGTGTTTGTTTGTTTGTTGTTTAACGCCGCACTCAGCAAAATTCCAGCTAAATGACGACGGTCTGTAAATAATCGAATCTGGACCAGAATATCCAGTGACTGATATCATGAGCATTGATCTACGCAAGTGGGATGCGATGACATGCATCAACCAAGTCAGCGAGCCTGACAACCCGATCCCGTTAGTCGCCTCTTACGACAAGCATAGTTGCCTTCTCCTGACCTGAACGACTTGTGACCTGTGCCACATTTAGAAAGAGACCTAATCAATCGAATGTAAGTGGAGCCACCTCCCTCTGCTAATCTTCACCACTGACCATGGCAACTGGAATGTTTGAGTGAGTATGGCTTTACAGCGCTTTTAGCAATATTCCAGCAATATCACGGCAGGGGACACCAGAAATGGGCTTCACACATTGAGCCCATGTGGGGAATCGAACCCGGGTCTTCAGCGTGACGAGCGAACGCCTTAACCACTAAGCTACCCCACCGCCCGCAACTGAAATGACACTCTCTGCAGTCAGTTCACAGAGGTGTCGAGTTTCATCAGGAGGGGGAACGAGGCGACCGTCGAGTTTGCCATACCAAAAGTGAACACTTTGCGAAGTTCATATACTTGAATATGTATTTGTGGCGGGTCAGATGTGTTTTGGAGTAGGTGTGAACGGATGCACAGACATGTACATTGTATGATGGCAGATACCGTAGTGAGGTCTTTCATCCTGTTCATCCTACCACAGGGGACGACTTTGTTTCATATTGACTGACCTCACATGGCCAATTGACAATTCCTATCGTATAACTTATACTAGAAGGCTGTCTTGGAGGTGTTAATGCGTTACTTTTAACCGTTTAGGTGAGGTGAAGGTAAAATTGGGTTTAACGTCGCGTCCAAGATTATTGCACTTAGATCTATATAGCGACGTGCATGTACGTGTGTGTGTTTGTGTTGCTGCTTGTGCTAGTCCGGACTGATGCCGATTTATAGTGCTAGCCCACTGAGATACCATGCCGCAGTTTAACATGAATACCCCACTCAGTGAGTGAGTGAGTTGGGCTTAAACGCCGCTTTTAACATTATTCCAGCTATATCACGGCTTACCCCACTCAGATACAGTGTACTGACTCCGAGCCGACCAGTCCTTGTTTTAGCCCTTTAATGCCGAGCGCCAGACAGGGTAACAACAAGTACCATCTTTTAACGTCTTTTGGTATGACGCGCCCGAGGATCGAACCCCGGACCTTCCGCTCTCCGGGCGGACGCTCTACCACTAGACATGGGAGGCGGTCACGTGAATATGAAAATCTTGTTAAAGTTATCAATCGTCCACAAAGAAGGCTATTCCAATGTCTCAAACTGTGACTTGGATGAAAATGTTGCTGCAAAAATATATATTCACCCACTCGTTTGTGCAAGAAGAATCCTATTTACCACACTCTCATCCTCACTCGGCAAGGCTATTTTATCTACCTTCTGTTTATACGTACTCTGGACCCATTCACTAACATTACGTCATTGGGAAGTCACTACTATCTTCTTCTCTCCAACGGATCATAATTGTTTGGACGGCTATTACATTTGACCATTGACCCGTGAAGATAGGTAGAATAGGTCTTCAGCTTCCAATGTTTGCCGTGGAAGGCGACTATGCATGTCGTAAGAGGCGACTAACGGGATCGGGTGGTCAGGCTCGCTGACTTGGTTGATGAATGTCATAGATCCCAATTGTGTGGATCGATGCTCATGATGTCAATCACTCGATTATTTACAGACCGCCGTCATACAGCTGGAATATTGCTGAGAGGGGGGGGGGGGGGGGGGGGGGGGGGCGGCGTTAAACAACAAACAAACAAACAAATAAACAAACATTTAACCATTATTTAGAGTGATGCTATGATAGTGAGCTGTGTTTTGTGGCACTTGTAACAGTGTTCCAGTTAAATTAGCTTGACGTCGGAAGAAAGCCCGAAGTGATGCAGGTCTTAGACGTTTACCATTTTACGAGGATGACAAACCAAGAATGCTGACAAACCAAACTCACGATCATGTTTCTGGCACGCTCAAGGGACGCAACTCTGCACAGCAAATTGTGGCGCCTTAGCTTGAGACGTCATGCCACACTGGAACAGTAAGTGAGTGCGTATGGTTTTACGTCACGTTTAGCAATATTCAAGCAATATCACAGCGGGGTTCACCAAGAATGGGCTTCACACATTGTACCCATGTGGGGAATCGAACCCGGGTCTTAGGCGTGACGAGCGAACGTTAAAACCACTAGGCCATCCCATCGCCCAACCCCTGGAACAGTGAATGGGCCAAGGGTATTTATCATGATAGAATAACAAACAAGGATGCCTTGTGACAAGCTGAAGGAAAACTCACTTCCACGGCGCCTGCACCGACAGCAGCAATGTCAGGGTATCCACATCCTCAGGTGTGACAGCCACCTTGACACTATACACAGACAACACCAGCACTGCTGCCCCTACCGTCAACAGTCGGAGGTATGGACACATGACGTTCGTGCTGGTGCAGACAGGTGTCTGTTCAACCACTTGACCGTCAGTGAGACTACCAAACACTTCTGATACCCAGCTGCAAGTTCTCAGGCATATATTATCTCTTTGTATTTACTGTAATGTATACGGGTGGAAAAATATAAAGGAACGCATATTTCATGAAGCCATTAAAAAAGAACATCCAAACAAGCGATGCCACCAAACGCAATGAAACTCACATGCATGAAGAAAGCATGTGTCAACGATGTGGCGCACGTGAAGAGACAATACGCACGTGCATCGTCGCGCGTCTTCACTGTGGAAACATGGCAAGACAATACATGAGTTCAGTACAGAAATTACCGTTTATTTTATTCTACAGGACAGGCTGAGGCAGACTATTACAAACCTACTGGTTGTTTGTGTAACTCGATATGGAGTTTTTGAAATTGTGGTAACACCTCGTAGGAGGTATTACAACGATTGTAACACCTCGCAGGAGGGCCTACAGTCATTGTAAACACTTAATAGAAGAAAAACTACGAACAGCCCACGAGACGCACGTGCAGATTTCGTGCCATTGCGAGACGCACGTGCAGATTTCGCACCGTTGCGAAACCCACGTGCTGAGGTCACCGGTTTCATTGAACCGAGTTCACGACTGCAGGCGATATTTCATCTCAGATACAGGTTATACATTTGAGAGTTTTCATTACAGTTATTTAATTAAAAACGTTGTCTATGCGATGAGTCGGTTTATAAGTTGGACAATCCATGTCTCCTCGAGATTACTAGAGATTGTAAACCCTCCCATTCGGGAACGTCTTGTGGACAGAATGACAGATGTGATGGCAGATGTGATATTGTGGAGCAGGGTCACGTTTTACAACAGGACTGTCCACATTTGCTCGGGAGGACGGGTAGCTCAGTAGTTCAAAGAGCCGCAATTCTGTTGCAGACTGTTGGTTCGAATTCCAGTTCGCCCCGATTATGCTTCAAGGTTTGTCAGCACCATACCCTACTGGTGGGTTTCATCAAAGCCCTACCGTTACGTTACTGATATTCGGTATTGGACTACCCTCCCACATTAAACTGACACGTGACAAAACTGGAATCTTGGTCAAAGCAGCGTTAACCCCATCTCACTCATTCATTCACCTCGATGTCAGGGTCACTGGTATATGTTGTCGTGACGAAGTGTTGAGGCCAGTCATGGCACCATTTACCCGCAACTGTAACTGTTCGTGTTTGACAGGGCGACGCCCATACTCGCTCTCTTCAATTCTCCATGGATCTGCTGGCCGACAAAGCCAATAACTACCCTGGCCAGCCGTATGTACCGACTTGAGCCTCATTGAGTATATGTGGGATTTTCTTGGTCGCCCTGTCAGAGCATGTGTGCAACCTCAAAATTTGGAGGAACTTTTCTCAGCTCTCCAACATGAATGCCGCGGCTTTCCAAGATCTATCATTAGGAACCTCATATCAATCATTCCCATGCAGTGCCAGGCAGTGTCCAGAGTCTTGGACACGTTACTAATATTCGGTATCATTGTGGTCAGTGTTGTTCTCCTTGGTGGTAAAACTGATTTTCTGATCAAATTGATGCAGGTGGTGGGGTAGCCTGATGGATAAAGCTTTCGCTCGTCACGCTGAAGACCAGGGTTCAATTCCCAACGCGAGTACAATGTGTGAAGCTCATTTCTTGTGTCCCCCACCGTGATATTGCTGGAATATTGCTAAAAGAGGCGTAAAACCATACCAACTCAAATTGATGCGTTCCCTTATGTATTTCCCTCTGTGTATTTTAGGATTTTCTTATCCATATCATTTTAACAAAACGTCCCCAGGTCACTGTAAAAGCCAACTAATGGCAACTATAGGTTACAATGGTGATCTGATGATAAATTAATTTCACATTTCAAATTTTGTAACTGGAGACCATGATCTACTTTATTATCCCACTCAGTTGATTTTCATTCTCAGCTCCCTTAGCAGTATGCAACCCAAGCTGCCAGGAGGTGCTAGAAGTTCACATCACCCTTGCATCCTCCCCAGGCATGTTTCCAACAAAGTCCATTTCCTGAGGAGACAACACCTGCGACAAGCGCTTGAGTTGGACTGGGCTGGAGCTGTAGAAACTTTCAGGAGCTTAGCTGCTGAAGGTGGTCTCCTATCCAACATCGAACAACTCTCCTGCCCTTGATCCAGTGATTAATATCATGTTTGTTTGTTTGTTGTTTAATGCTGCACTCAGTAATATTCCAGCTAAATGACCGTGGTCTGAAAAATAATTGAGTCTGGACCAGACAATCCAGTAATTGACATCATGAGTATCGGTCCACGCAATTGGGATACGATGACATGCATCAACCAAGTCAGCGAGCCTGACCACCCGATCCTCTTAGTCGCCTCTTACGACAAGCTTAGCCTCTTACGACAAGCATAGTCGCCTTCTCCTGACCTGAACGACTTGTGACCTGTGCTGCCACCACATAAAACAGTGTATGTGTCTACCAACAGTATAACATGTACTTAGGCTGTGAAAAACTTCATTATTAAGAAGCCATTGCATACTGTGTGTTGCTTAATGCAGATGTGAGGACAACGTGTAAATAATGGCATCAGGACCAGATAATCCAGTGATTGATATTATGAGCCTCAATCCACGCCCTTGGGTAAGATGTTTGCTTTTATCAACTTAATATGTGGGAGGAAAGCCCAAATAATGCAGGTCCCAAGGTGTAAAGTTTACCACTGTGGTAAAACCCAAGAGCACAGTCATGGTGCTGACAAACCGTGAGTGAGTGAGTGAGTTTGGTTTTACGCCGCTTTAAGCAATATTCCAGCAATATCACAGCGGGGGACACCAAAAATGGGCTTCACAAATTGTACCCATGTCGGGATTCGAACCCGGGTCTTCGGCATGACGAGCAAACGCTTTAACCACTAGGCTACCCGACCGCCCCGACAAACCAAGAAACCTCAGTAAGCCATCACAGGCTCCTACAACAACTGTATCTAAGGGGCACCTGTTGTCCAAAGACATTCATTAAAAGCAATAAGCAACGCAAGATCAATCTACTTTTACATTTTTTAATCAACAGTTTAATAGACAAACATGAAAAACATAACAATGTTCACACACCAAGCTCAGGGTTCCTAGACAGATGTTCTTCAGTACTACAAACAATTAACATATATAGTTATCATGTTAGCATACTCCTCCTGATACAACATTATGCAATTACCTTCTTTCTACAATCTAATTACACAGTGAGTGAGTGTGGTTTTACGCCGCTTTTAGCAATATTCCAGCAATATCAGGGCGGGGGACACCACAAATGGGCTTCACACATTGTACCCATGTCTGGAATCGAACCTGGGTCTTTGGCGTGACAAGCTAACGCTTTAACCACTGGGCTACCCGACTGCCCCCAATTACACAGAATTTAAAACATGTTTCTCCACCAGGTCCCTCCCCTATTTCCCTTCCCAAAGTTTGCAACAGGTGGCTGCAAGCTACTGATTTATCCTTTGAAATCACGCCCCAAACTTTGTTGCACTAAGTTGTATCAGGATATTAACATACTTTTCTAATACAATACATTTTGTGTTACTAAGGCATTAATAATAAATATTATACAAACAACAGCACTGACAATAACAAAAATAAATCAGATAGACATATGACTACCAATTAACATAAGAGTATGATTTTTCAGATCTTGCCGTCATAAACACGAAACAAACAACATGGCAGTTTCTCTAAAAAAACAAAATACAGAAGTACAAAATATAATGGACGAAAATATTGAATCTGTAATATGTTTAGAAATTTATTTTCCACGGTGAAGTGGGTATGGTTTTATGCCTTTTTTAGCAATATTTCAGCAATATCACGGTGGGGGACACCAGAAATGGGCCTCACACATTGTACCCATGTCGGGAATTGAACCCAGGTCTTCGGTGTGACGAGTGAACGCTTTAACCACGAGGCTGCTCGACCGCCCCTTTTCACTGTGAAGAAAATAAGGACTTTTGCAGTCTTAAGTCATCAGCAATTATCTGGTGTATCATATCTACATTCAGTATCAATAAATACTCTGGACCCATTCGCCACCCTATCTTTGTACCGGAGGTGATGTCACCACTCCTGTTGCCCCTATCTCTCAATGAGCACAGTATTTCTATTGAGAAAAGATATTTGATTGGCGGCTATTTTTAGCATCATGCCATATGAAACCAGTTTGGAATAAAGTTATGACTGCAAATGGGTCAAATGTATTTTCAAAATAGAATGGTGATTCTTGAGATAATCAAGACAATTGTCCACAAGACAAGCATGTACACTTGTCAGGACCTGTAGTAGTAAATCAAAGAGGACAGATCAACGGCCTGGTGTCAAAATGGCCACAGACACCCTAGTCAAAATGGCCACACCTAAATGTCAAAATGGCCACAAACCCAGTCTAAATGGCCAAATCATAGTGGTCCAACTTGTTTTGCTTAAGGGAGCAGTTAAGAATACACATAATGCAAAGACCTTTCAGAAGAAGACTATTTCTCTAGAAAAACAAAGTAGCTCCATAGAACTGTAGCTCACCTGGATATATATAGTCAACAGTGTAAAATGTCAACAGACGCTTAACAACAGTTGCTACTTGACATTGATATTCAAATACTTTCTGCATCAATACCCAAACTAACGCCAAATTCTGCATGTGTGCACAAAATACAATGTCAACAAAAGAAGATATTTTTTTATTCCAAAGCTCGGCTTCCTCTGTCTGGCAATGTCACAGAAGAAGAAAGTTACAGAAATGCATTTCAAGGTATGGCCAAAACAAAAGGGTCACAACAAAGTAAAATTCTAAAATATTTCAAAGATAAAAAGGAACATGAGTTGGAATTGTAATCTAATTAATCTCTTCACGTTAACATCTGAGGACTACAACTGCCACATGAAAAAAAACAAGGATAGGGTGAAGAGAAAACATGGAAAAACCCAAGAAATTTGTCACTTTTCAATTCAATAAGTATTGGAACTAATAAGATGCATTATCATACCTCCATGTCATAATGATGAGATCTGATTTGTCCACATGATCCTG